CAGAGTCCTCGTCCTTTCCGTAGTCCGTGCTCCCCACAATGGGCTCCTTCTCCCTCATCCAAGATTCAGCCTCGTTGGCGTCGGCAAAGTACTGCTGGGCCTGCAGGGAGTCTTCCAAATCCTGCCGGCGCTGGGAGGCCTTCCCTTTCAAGGATTCCCACTTCTGGTTGAGGTCGTTCAGTTTGGCTTTCACATCTTCCGCGGCAAAGTGTCCTAAGGGACAAGAAGCGCGTTGGTCTGGGAAGATGCGGAGGTGGGAAGGTGGGCACAGTTCTCGCCCACCAGCCTGGGCTGGTGGGAGTTTCTCCACGAAGGCGGCTCCTTCAGAAAATTAGCTAAAATGAGAAGGGGGCCTGGCTCTCTCTTGAGGCCACCCTGGACAAAGCAGGGGGGATTGTAATGGAAATGAGTGGATTCCCAGAAAACATTGCAGGCTACAGGAACCATTTGTGCTTCAGGTTGTGATGCAAACAACGCAGACTCTTCCCCGGCAGCCTTGTGCCCATCTTCAACAGTGAAGGGACCCAGGGCAGAAAACATCCCACAGCCAAGGCCTCACACCTATTTGCATCACTCAGGTGACCCTGAGGACACAGGTAAACCTCCAAGTGGCCTCAATGGCTCTCTAAAAGAAAGCAAATGACCAGTGGTATAATCTATTTTATCTATCTATAATCTATCTTATCTATAATCTATTTATCTATAATCTATCTATAATCTATCTTATCTATCTATAATCTATTTTATCTATCTTATCTATCTATAATCTATTTTATCTATCTTATCTATCTATAATCTATCTCATCTATCTATAATCTATCTTATCTATTCTATTCTACTCTTCTCTATTCCACTCTACTGTATTCTACTGTATTCTATATATTCTATTCTACTCTACTCTATTTACTCTATTCTACTTTATTTATTCTACTCTATTTATTTACTCTATTCTACTCTACTCTATTCTACTCTACTTTATTTACTCTATTCTACTCTACTCTATTCACTCTATTCTACTTACTCTTATTTACTCTATTCTACTCTATTTATTCTACTCTACTCTATTTACTCTATTCTACTCTATTTACTCTATTATATTTACTCTATTCTACTCTATTTATTCTACTCTACTCTATTTACTCTATTCTACTCTATTTACTCTATTATATTTACTCTATTCTACTCTACTCTACTCTACTCTACTCTACCTACCGTCGACCAGAATCAAACTTCCGAACTGCTGGCAGTCAGCAGAAGTTGCCTGCAGTGCTGCATTCTAACCACTGCGCCATCACGGCTCATAAGATAAGGAAGCGAGGAAGAGACTCACCTTCTTCTATCATGGAGTTCCCTTTCTGGGTGACCGCTTTAATGCGGGGTTCGTGGCCAGCAATCTCCGCCTGCAAAGCTTGGTGTTTCTTCAGCAGGTTCTGGACCCCAATGAGGTCTTTGCCTGCAACAAGAAGGGAAGGACATGGTCAGCAGCCATTCCGGTAAAAATGGACCCAACCCCTAAATAGAAGAGCCGTCGGTTTGCAAAGGCAAGGGGTCCTCAACTTAACGATCACAATGGAGCCCAGATGTTAGGTTGCTAAGCGGGACATTTGTTAAGTGGGGCTCGTCCCGTTTTTACGACCTTCCCTTGCCACGTTTGTTAAGGGAATTGGGCTTCCCCCGTTGGCTTTGTTTGCTAGACGGTCGCAAAAGGGGATCGCGTGACCCCTGGGACGCTGCAGCCGTCATAAACATGATCCAGTTGCCAAGCATCCGAACGTAAATCACAGGACCGCAGGGACGCTGCAACGGTCGTTAAGTGTGAAAAACAGTCCTCCGTCCCTTTTTTCAGTGCCGTTGTGACTTCGGTCACTCAATGAACTGTTGCTAAGTCGAGGACTGCCTGTATTTCCCCTTATGTGGCGTTGTTGGCTAGCTGCTCAAAACTAGCCACGGTTATCGACGTGTGTGAACGTGTAACGCGCCTCGTGCTCCTCCGAGAGGGGCGGCCCTGCGCTAACCTCGGTTGGTGGAGGCCGCGATGGGCTCCTTCTCCCTGATCCAGGTTTCTTCATCTTCCACGTCGCGGAAGAGCTGCTGGAGGCGGAGGGAGTCGGCCAGTTTCTGCTTGCGGGTCACCATTGGTTCCTTCAGGGCTTCATAGCGGGCCACCAAGGCCTCCTGCTTCTTCTTGATATTGTCGGCGTCAAAGTGCCCGGCCTCTTGAAACTGGCGAGCCTGGATGGTGATGCCGTCGATGCGGTCCTAAGAGCGGGGACATTGGGGGCAAGAAGAACTGAAGATCAGCAGTAGCCACCTTGCAAGGACTATCTCTCTACCCTTGAATGGGTCCGGTGTTAAGTCCCCTTCTGCAGCCCTTCCGCTGCCCTCCAAGCACAACGGCTCTCTGTTTATAGCAGAGCCACTAGATTCTGCAACAACTTTGATCATTAGGCCGTCTTGTAAATCCACAGGATTCTTTTTTCCCACGCCATGTGTATGTATACATTAGAACTAGACTATAATGTTTCTCTGTGTTGTATGTGTGTGTGTATGTGGGTAGATGCAAAATGCTATTTTTTTGAGAGCTGAATGCAATGAAATTTCATTTTAATGTGTGATTAGTGTACATTTAAAGTGACAATAAAGTTTCTATCTATTCTGTTCTGTTCTATTCTGTTCTGTCCTATTTCAATTATTTCATTCTCTATTTTATTTTATTCTATTCTATTCCATATTCTATTCTATTTCAATTATTTCATTCTCTTCATGTGAAACACCCCAACAAACCGAAAGATAACCCTTAACATATGCTTTGGTTTGCTTTACAGGATCTGTCCTTTTTTGTAAGGGGGGCCGGATGTCAACGCTGCAAATACTGTATATTCTTGCTTTGACAATATGCAGAACTGTCTGGTATTTTTATAGTTAAATCAGGCAACAGTGAAAGGGGAGGAGAATAAGGAAAACCCGGGAACCGGAAGTAAATCACATCTTCCAAGTTAATTGGAAGATGTGAACCAAGATCCCAAAATAGAGGAGGGAAAAATGCCTGGAATGTATGTGCAACGGAAAAGAATCTCAGATCTAAGCATTTCCACCATGCCGTACTGACATCTCTGTAACCTTAATAAATACTTTTAGGAGAAAAATATGCCTGAAAGTCCTTTTAAGTGTTTCGTTAATCAGACACATGACATCTATTTTATTCTATTCTATATTCTATTCTGTTCTATTTTATTTCAATTATTTCATTCTCTATTCTATTCCATATTCTATTATATTCCATTCCACTCTATTCTATTATTCTATTCTATTCTATTCTATTCCATCCTATTCTATTTCATCTTCTATTCTATTCCATACCATTCCATTCCTTTCCATCCTATTCTATATTCTATTTCATCTTCCATTCTATTCCATACCCTTCCATTCCTTTCCATTCCATTCTGTTCTAACCTCCAGGGCAGGGCAGGGCAGGGCAGGGCAGGTGGGGAAGGAGAAGGGGATGTACCTGGTGGGCAGCTACGTCTGCCTCCAGCAGGGCGTGTTTCTTCTGCAGATTCTGAACGTTGGTTAGGTCTTTGCCGTAATCATCAGAAGCCAGGTGACCTTCCACTTCGTACAGCCACAGTTCAATGTCTTCCACGTTGCGGTTGAATTGCTGCTGCTGGTTGGCTTCACACAGCTTGATCCCTGGAAGGGAGAAGGGGAGACTCTGAAGGTCTTGTGCGCTTAGGAAATGCCTTTAGGACCCCCATCGTTCTTCCTGTCCTCCCCCCACCCACCCACCCACCCACCCCTCTCTCTCTCTGTCTCTCTTTCCACCTTGTACCTTTCAGCTCGGTAGCTTCCAACAGCTTCTTCCACAAGCTGATGACTTCGTTCATGCGAATAGCCACTTCGTCCGAGGCGTAGTGTTTGACGTCGATCAGGTTTTGCCCGGCTTTCTCAAGGGCATCGATGCGACTCTGATTGGCCGACAGCTCGGCTTCAAACGCCTGGTGCTTCTGGACCTTCCCTTGTAGGTTGGACGGGTCCTACGAAACGGAGGAGACCAGATCAGTGGCAGTTGGGTTAGGTCAGGGGTCTTCAAACTTGGCAACTTTAAAACTTGTGGACTTCAACTCCCAGAATTCCTCAGCCCTTCCTTCCTTCCTTCCTTCCCTTTCTTTCTTTTTCCTTTCTCTTTTATATACGTACATCCAACAATATATATTGCATTGCAACACCTTGTAAGCCTTTTTCACTTTTTTCTTCTTTCTTTCTTTCCTTTTCTTTTTCTTTTCTCTCTCATATACATACATCCAACAATATATATCACATTGCAGTCACACCTTGTAAGCTTTTTTTCCTTTCCTTTCTTTCTTTCCTCTCATATACATACATCCAGCAATATATACTGCATTGCAGCCACACCTTGTAAGCCTGCCTGTCTTTCTTTCTCTTTTCTTTCTTTTTCTTTCCTTTCTCTTTCACATATATATACACCCAACAATATATATCGCATTGCAGCCACACCTTGTAAGCCTGCTTTTTCTTTCTTTCTTTCTTTTCCTTCCTTTTTCTTTTTTTCTTTCTCTTTCTCTTTTCTTTCTTTCCTCTCTCTCTCTCACACACACACATATATACATACACCCAACAATATATATTGCATTGCAGCCACACCTTGTAAGCCTGCTCTTTCTTTCTTTCTCTTTCTTTTTCTTTCTTTCTTTCTCTTTCCTTTCTCTCTCTCACACACACACATATATACATACACCCAACAATATATATCGCATTGCAGCCACACCTTGTAAGCCTGCTCTTTCTTTCTTTCTTTCTTTCTTTCTTTTTCTTTCTTTCTTTCTTTCTTTCTTTCTTTCTTTCTTTCTTTCTTTCTTTCTTTCTTTCTCTTTCTCTCTCTCTCACACACACATATATACATACACCCAACAATATATACTGCACTGCAGCCACACCTTGTAAGCCTGCCTCTTTCTTTCTTTTTCTTTCTTCTTTCTTTCCTTTCTCTCTTTCACATATATGCATACACCCAACAATATATATCGCATTGCAGCCACACCTTGTAAGCCTGCTTTTTCTTTCTTTCTTTCTTTCTCTTTCCTTTCTTCTTTCTTTTTCTCTCTCTCTCTCTCTCTCTCTCACACACACACACATATATACATACACCCAACAATATATACTGCATTGCAGCCACACCTTGTAAGCCTCGTCCGTTGCGGTTTTCATCTTTTCATTGACCCAGCTTTTCAGCTCATCCGAGTCTCTGAAGAACTGCTGCAGGTGGAAGGAGTCGGCCAGCTGTGTTCGACGCAGCAGGGCCCGTTCGTGCAATGTGTTGCGACGGCTCAGCAACTGGCGGAAGACAAGAACACAACAAGCCTGAATCCACAGCAACAGTCTTCGTTTCTATCTTTTTTTCTTTCAGTTGCAGCCTGCTCTCCCCCCACCCCCCCACAAATATACCAAACAAAGAAGCCCAACTAGGAAATACGTAAGATACGAGGTTGCACTTGAAACTTACGGCGTCTCTACGGGTGGCCACGTCTTCCTTGGCATAATGGTTGTTCTGAATCAGTTTTGTGGCAAACTCATCCAGAGCCTAGAAACAAAATGGTATTTATTGACTCAGGAAAACAGGAGATGGACCGTTAAGCCTTTCGAACGACTTCACTTACTTGAAACTCTGCAGAAATAAATAAGCCTCTCACCAGCATTAAGAGGTTGTGAGATATAAATCCCAGGACGGACACAGTTCAAAAACTAGGCTAGGTAGGTATCTTGTCTTGGGTGGAGACAGGTAGAAATTCTGATTTACCGCCAAAGGAACGCCATGAAGAGGGATCAGAACCCGTACCCCAAATCGTGGACCCAAACCAATTAAAACAAAACTGCAGAATTTATCCTTCGGACTGAAGGAAAGCGCAACGCGCAGCTGTCCGATCACCTTTCCCCAATTTTTTAATCTCAACAGGTACGATCTCTCTTCCTCAGACCCAGCCAAAGGCATTTTTTTTCAGCCCAGCCAACCTCAAAGGGTCGTTGTGGTGGGAAAATAAAAGAGGGAGCCTTATCTACGCTGCCTTGTGGGGTACAAAACCAAAGTGGGTTACAAGTCCCCGCTTTAAATACCTAGTCAAGAATGTCCCGTTTGAAAAACAGCCAAGATTATCTTTCAGAATTGTCAAGCAGGAGCTTCTGATAATTTAATTGGTTTAATGACCTTGAATTCAGTTACAGAAGCTATCTTCTAATGGGGGTAACTCATGAAAAACTGGGCCAGGTAACCAGGGATAGCTTAGTTCAATTAGCGAAGGCTTAAAACAGTAACTCTGATGGAATAATCTTCCACTCTAGAGAATTTAAATTGGATAAGTTCTCAAATATGTGGCTGTAACCCCAGCAAACGGGGGGAAAAGACTCTATTGCGAAGTGTTTCCTTTTCTTTTAAGTATTTTTTTTTTAAATCAAGTGGTGTGAGGACCAGTTGTGGCTTATCTCTCCAGGGAAATAAGTAAATCTCCAAATAGCTCACAGTGATTTTCTCTTCTTGGGCGCTAAGCGACTTCTCAAAATCCTCGTGCTTCTTCAGCAGGGCCTCCACGGTGTCCAGAGAATCCCCGAGATCTTCATTCAGCAAGAAGGCCTTGAAAAGAAAGACAGGAAGACAAAAGGACATCAGAAAAGGCCAGATTTGGCCAACCAGACAGGCCAGGGTGGAAGACAAGACAAAAAGAAAGAAAGAAAGAAAGGACATCTGCGTAGAAGGCAGAATATCCTGGTGGAACAGGGCCAGAAGATCTGGAGATGGTCGTCGGAGCCACCAAACTTTTGAAAAAAGAACCAAGAAGAAAGTACGATTCGGTGAAAAAGTCTGGCCGGTTGCTTAAGGATGCCGTGGAGGTCTGCCATGGCTCCATCGAAGCCCAGTTCAGAGAGGAGTTGGAACTGGGAACGTCCAACCGGGATGGCATGTCTCTCTTGGCGTGCTTGGAGAGGCCAGGGGCTGAGGACAATGCTGTCCCAGGCCCCACAGGCACTGGGGGAAGTGGCTGAGAGGACGGAGAACTCCCTACTCTTAACAGACACAGAGGAGTATTGGCTGCTGACAGGCAGTGATGCTGATAAGCAACAGATCCCCTCTTGATGAGGAACAGCTGCCTCCCCCGCTGGATCCAAGGGCACGGAGAGCAGAGTGTAGGCAAGCTCAGAGAAGGGCTGCAAGGAGAATCACCCCACCCTTCCTCACAAGAAGCACATGGAGTGGAGTGACTTAAGGAAAAGCTGTGGGGAGTGAATCTTTGCCAGGAACAATTGTTTTGGCTTACACTCCCCTGGGGCTTTGACTCTTGCCTTGCCTTCCCTTGAAGATTGTTTTTTGCCTTGTGCCTTGATTCTGTCTTACCGAGTACAGTTTGCCTCGTGGACTGGGGACCCTGGACCTTGCCCTGTGAGCGTGCTCCTACTCTGTGAACTTCCTTTGTTATATAGGGGCTGTTTGGGGGGGGCTAGCAGGCTGGCCAAGCGACGTTCAGGGAAAACCACCCCCCCAGCGCTCACCTCTTGTTTGCTCATCCAATTGTCCACCTGCTCGGTGTCCCGGTAGAAAAGCTGCAGGTCCATGCACTGCTCGTACTGCTGCCGGCGAAGTTCCCAGAGTTCCAGCAGAGCTGTTCTTTCCTCGGAGAGGACGGTCAGCTGAGAGAAAAAGGAGAGACCGTCTTGGGGTCAGGAGCAGGAGTCCACGTCCTTGAGAAGGGGGTCGACTGGGAAGACCCCCTTTGCCTACTGCTGGTTTCCTTGGCAAAGCAGCAATTGGATTGTAATAAAGCCAATTTGCAATTTATGGGGAGGGGGCAAGCCGGTCAAAACGGCTGCTGGAATTGAGCTTGTCTAGTTTAAGGAAGAGAAGGACGAGGGGGGACAGGATAGCAGCCTTCCAGCATCTCAGGGGCTGCCCCAAAGAAGAGGGAGTCAAGCTCTTCTCCAAAGCGGAAACTCATCAAGGAGAGAAGCAACCGAGAACTAAGGAGAAACTTCCTGACAGTTAGAACAATTAACCAGTGGAACAACCTGCCTCCAGAAGCGGTGAATGCTCCAACACTGGAAGTTTTTAAGAAAAGACTGGACAGCCATTTGTCCAAAATGGTGTAGGGTTTCCTGCCTGAGCAGGGGGTTGGACTAGATGACCTCCAAGGTCCCTTCCAACATTATTATTATTATTATTATTATTATTATTATTATTATTATTATTACTACTACTACTACTACTACTACTACTATTACTACTACTACTACTATTATCATCATCATCATCATCTTCCTGGGAGGAAAGGCAGAAATAATGTGGACCCCCCCCCCCCAAGGCTCTAAGCAACCCCTCTCCTCCCCTTCGCTATCTTGCTGGCAGTAAAGTTGGTTACCTTCTCCTTAACTTCATCAGAGGCATAATGTCCAGCAGCAAGCAAGGCCTGGCCGGAGTCATCCGCAGATTTAAAGCTGTCTTCATGAGCATCGATTTCTCCCTGCAGCCAAACATGGTCAGAACACGGTCACATCCCAAATCAATCAAGCCACAGTCAGAAACAAAACACAACCACAGACGCATGGGTGAGCCTCTTTCAGCAGAGTGGATGAGGCACCCAGTTAACAATCAGTTCTGGGGGCCAAAATGTATCTGAAAGGACCAAAGAAGGTCTTCGGTGGCCATCCGTAAACTCTATTCAAGGCAAAATGCAGTAACTGGACTCTAGGTACCCAGTTTGTACCTATTCAAGGTTCTGGTTTTAAGGGCCAAGGAGCCAATTGTGTGGCAAAGGATTCCTGGGAACCCACTGGCAGTTGCTCCCGATGAGGCTGACCGAGGGAGGCCTGCAGTTCAACCAGGAACCATGTGGCGCAGTGGTTAGAGTAATTACAGGTTAATTCTGCCTATTGCCAACAGTTCAATCCAGACCAGCTCAAGGTTGACTCGGCTTTCCATCTGGGTAAAATGAGGACCCAGATTGTTGGGGGGGGGCAACAGGCTGACTCTGTAAGAAAGGGCTGTAAAGCATTGTAAAGCGGTATATAAGTCTAAGTGCTAAGTGCTATTGCTGTCAAAGAGTCCAGATTCCATGGTGGCATCTTACCTTATGCTCCTGGTGTCTATCCAGCAGGGCCTCTGCTCCTGCTACATCGTTGGCAAGCTCGTCGGCATTAATCAGAGCTTTCATTTCGGTCACCCAGCTGGTCAAATCCCGGAAATCAGCCAGGAATCGCTGCAGTCTTGGGGTGAAGAGAGAAGGCAGAAGAGCAAAAGAAACATAGTTAATCCAGGCTTCATCTGACACTCTATGTTCACATTTCTGGGTTGCTTCCCTGCTGAACTCTGCCACAGCTGAAAACTTTCTCCCTCTCTCTCGTCTTCTGTTCCATGGCAAGCTTCATTCCTTGTCGTGTTTCCTTGCTTGGGGTAGGAGAAGAAGTGAAGCTCTTTTTATGAGCATCGCAGCATCTTACCTGTAGGAGTCGTTCAGACGTGCATGTCTCTCAGCAGCCCGCGTGCGGATCTGCTCCCAGTTTGCAACCAGTTCCTCTCGCTTCACGTGGATCTGAGAGGCGTTGGGAGGGTGGGACTCCTGCAGCCGGTCAGTCTCTGCACACAGAGCCTTCACCTAAACACAGCGGAGAAATGTAGGTTAACACCAGAGCAACAGAAGCTGGGGGAAAAGGGAAGCAACAAGAAATGCCTAATAAGCACGTTGTGTCAAACTCTTAAAAACGCATGCCAATTCTTTACGGATATGCTGGAAATAAATTAAGCTCTAAGCGAGCAAATATGATTAGAAGTAGGGCAGATGTTGGGAGATTTTGCTCAAAAAGAAAAAAAAAACTTTGGTCACCAAAACAATCAAACTAATCTGGATTTTGACCACTGTAAAAACACGACAAGGAATGGAATTGGCAAGAACTGGTTTAATTGATTCAAAGAGCTCTTTGTTCAATATGGACGCAAACCCTTGCAGTTCTTCTGCGGGATTCTTTCAGGTGATTGAACAACAACAAAAAAACCCACAAGGTTTAAAAAAAGGATCTGCTCAAGCCAACGGCACCCACCTTGTCTTCCAAAGCAGCCAGATCCCTCTCCAAGCCCTCGTGTTTGCGTAGCAAAGCCTGCACGCTTGCAAGATCTCTTCCGAAGTCGTCCGAAGCCATCAGCTGCTCTTTCTCCTTAATCCAGCTTATCGTTTCGTCCACATCCCTGTAAATACAGACAGGCATCAATCAAGCACTTTTAGGACAACCATACCTGGATTGACCGAGACTCTCCAGACAGGGAAGATTGCAAGCAACGAAAGTTATAGTCCCTCTGTGGCTTTATTTATATCCCAAGAAAGGACTTTTATGAGGGAGGCAGGAGAAGACAAACGCATCTCGGGCTACTACCGTCCTGTAAACACTCAGGCAGATGGTCATTCTTCACCATGTTGACCCAACTGGTCAAGCTGATCACCTGTTGAAACGCTGCACCTCAGCAGCTCCAAAGAGCTTGCCCTGCCTCTGGAGAGCCAGTCCTTTCAGTCTCTGCCAACTTGTGTTGACTTCATCCTGTTTAGATTTAATCAGCTCTTCTTCTGGGTGCTGTTCCTACAGGGGGGAAAAATGGAGATTCTTTGGCTGATGCTCTGATGATTTCAAAGCTACGGCTACTGTTTTGCACCCAACCTCAATCGTTCTACAAAGGGGTGGTGTTTTTTTTTCATGGGATTATCCCAGAATTTCTTGCCTCTCCCACGTCCTGGAAACGTTTTGGACTTGGTCACAGAGTTGTTATCAGCCCTGGAACCATTTTTCGCCAGGTTGTGTTCTCCGCCTGCCTGGATTCAGATCCCTTAAATCCTTAACTTGCGGGAGAATAGTAGCCTAGCCCGTGCCAAGTTGGGGGAGGCTGTCTTAAATCCCTTTCAGGGGTTAGGAAACACTGACTTTTTTTTTTTAAGGACAGTCCTAAAGGACACAGAAAAATGGTCATGATCCAATGATCCAAAAAAGATGTTGAGACTCTAGAAAGAGTACAGAGAAGAGCAACAAAGATGATTAGGGGACTGGAGGCTAAAACATATAAGGAACGGTTGCTGGAATTGGGTATGTCTAGTTTAATGAAGAGAAGGATCAGAGGGGACATGATAACAGTGTTCCAGTATCTCAGGGGCTACCCCAAAGAAGAGGGAGTCAAGCTATTCTCCAAAGCACCTGAAGAAGGCAGGACAAGAAGCAACGGATGGAAACTAACCCAGGAGAGAAGCAATCTGGAACTAAGGAGAAACTTCCTGACAGTTAGAACAATTCATCAGTGGAACAACCTGCCTCCAAAAGCGGTGAATGCTCCAACACTGGAAGTTTTTAAGAAGAGACTGGACAGTCATTTGACCGAAATGGTATAGGGTTTCCTGCCTGAGCAGGGGGTTGGATTAGATGACCTCCAAGGTCCCTTCCAACTTTATTATTATTATTATTATTATTATTATTATTATTATTATTGCTGTTGTTGTTGTTACTACTACTACTACTACTATTATTATTATTATTATTATAATATTATTATAGGATTCCTTAGGATTGATGGAAAGCAGAATGGATGGAAAATGTGGACTCAAGACATGGGCAGGGCAGGGTAGGACATGCTTACTGGGCCAAAAAACCCAACCCCAGCTGCAATAAACACCCTCTGCATGATTGCAGGTGGACCATAAATATTTCACAAACTGCAAGATGAAAGGCAGACACCCAGGGCCACAGGATCGAAGCAGCCCACGCCGAGGGGCTCCCACAATTACTCGTGGTTCTGACCTGGATCAACTTGCTGGCAAACTGGTTCACTTCGTTCACCCTCTCCTCGTGGGCCGCCAGGTCCGTCTGGAACTCTTCAAATTTCTTCTGCAGCACCTCCACGTGCTCAAGGTCCTGGCCCAACTCCTCCGAGGTTACAATGGCCTCCTGGAAACGACGACGAGAAAAGCTGGGTCAGTAAGCTAGGAGAGGAACAGAACCCAGGAGAGCTGGCAGCCCTGTTCTGAAGCTGGGTGAGCTTCTAAAGGGAGCTGCATTTGGAGTAAGGAATGTTGAATTCAATTTTGGAACATTGATGCTAGATCAGGGGTCTTCAAACTTGGCCCTTTTGTGACTTGTGGACTTCAACTCCCATAATTCCTCAGCCAGGCACGTGTGCCTGGCTGAGGAATTCTGGGAGTTGAAGTCTACAAGTCACAAAAGGACCAAGTTTGAAGACTCCTGTTCTAGATAGTAAGCTAGCCAGATGTGAGCCAGAACATCAAGGAAATGTTCCACCTGATTAATCAGTTCCCTAGTTCCTTCCCAATCCCAATTTTAAACGAAGGCCAGCTGCTCTCCAAATGCTACTCTCCTTTGCTTCTTTAAAAACACAATTCTTTCTTTTTAGTAAAGTTTTATTATTATTTTTAAATAGAATTCAATAGTAATCATTCAACGTGTGGTCTTATTCACCAATACAAATTAAATTCCTAATCCCTAAACCTTTTCCCTAACCACTGATAAAATGGGTCCCAAGTTTGAAAACGTTCTGCTTCTTCTTTTTCTTTCAACCTTAAAGTACGTCTGTCCATTTCCGCACAGTCTAGTATTTTTTTTATATTTTTTTCTTCTTCTGGTGGTGTTTCTTCGTTCTTCCAGTATTCCACTGTCAGTATTGTGCACTGTCAGATAAGTACATAGACTATAAGCCTGATTTTTTTTTACTAGCTATAATGCCAGAAAAACCTGATAAGCAAAGTGCATATTTGATTTTACACGTGATAATGGCGGCAAGAATTTAAAAGCACAATTCTGCTTCCATAATGAAATACAGGTCGTCCTTGGTTTATGGCCACAACTGAGCCCAAAATTATTGTTGCTAAGAGAGACATTTGTTCAGTGAGTTTTGCCTCATTTTATTGCCACGGTTCCTAAGTGAACCCCTGCCGCTGTTAAGTCAGCAATAGAGTTGTTAAATAAATCTGAATTCCCTGTTGACTTTGTGGGTCAGGAGGTTGCAAAAAGTGATCACCTGATCCCAGGACTCTGCAACTGTCATAAATCAATTGCCAAACGTCTGAACTTTGAACGTGGGAATCAAGTGTGAAAAACGGTCCCTATTTTTCCAGTGCCGTTGTAACTTTGAACGGTCACTAAATAAATGAACTGTGGTGAGTCAAGGGCTGTCTGTATGGGGCTGTGGTGAGGTGGCCCCTGCAAACAACCTATGATGGCTAAAACTCGGTCTCCCCAGTCTCCCACCCTCCCTAGTGGGAAGGGCTCCCGAGGCAGAGACCTTGTCATTGATCCAATCCAGCACATCTCCGATCTCTCGCAGGAACTGCACCAGCTTTTGGGCGTGGAGCAGCCTGACGCCTTTCTCTCGCATCTTCTCCAGAAGCAGTTCCCACAGCCGGTGAAGCTCCTGCAGCCGACTCTGGGAAATAAGAATAACCACGGGGATGATTACTCAACTTAGACCAAAAAAAAGGAAAAAAAAAAGGTGAGCCCTGATATGAAACGATTTAACAAGAATATATATATATGTTTTTTACTTCCGGCTGAGCTGTACGGGTTCCCCAGAAGCAAAATAACACGAGCGACAGCACTTAAGATTTATGTACCGCTTCACGGTGGTTTACGGAGCCAGCCTATTGGCCCCCAACAATCTGGGTCCTCATTAGACCGACCTCGGAAGGACGGGAGGCCGAGTCGACCTTGAGCCGGTCGGGATCGAACTGCTGGCAGTCGGCAGAGTTAGCCTGCAATGCTAAATTCTATCCACTGCGCCACCAAATACGAGGCTGGCTCTGTGGCCTGAATTCAGGATTTTAGCGAGGGAACCAGAATATTGGAAAAGTCAACAGGCTCCAATGGAAGGTGAAAAGAGAGGGGGGGGGACAGGGCAAACACTATCCATCCAGCAAACACTTGCAAAAACAAGGCATCGCCCCCTGTATTTGGCAGCAATCCTTGTTCTGGAAACATCAAATAAAAGCCAGATTACGGAGGTTTCTCTAGGACACGGGCAGGCCTGCCGAAAGTATAGTTGTATACTTTTGTGAGTTGTCACAGTAAGTTGCTCCAAAGGGGAAACACAACAGCAGAATGTAAACAGAGCTGGAAGGGACCTCAGAGGTCTTCTAGTCCAACCCCCAGCTCAGGCAGGAGACCTTATACTGTTTCAGACAAATGACTGTCCAATCTCTTCTTGAAAAACCTCCTCTAAATATCCTTTTGAACAATCCACACAGCGCAAGAATTAAAGTTTCTTGCTGGAAACAAATCAGCCACCAGAACATGTCGGGAAAGTTCTCCGCATTCTGACATCGTATTTCAGGGTGGTGGGGGAAAAAATAATTACACAATGCAAATAGCTTAGAATCGGGTTCGAAAAATGAGGAGGAACTTCTGAGGACATGGCCCTTACTTGACTCGTGTGTGTGTTTGTGTGTGTGATCCCTCCTATTCTGGCTAATATTCAAGCAAAGGACACACCCAATTTTTGTGATCTGCAATGGTTTTTAAAGCTGTTTTGGAAAATCCAGATATGCAGCATATGCCTTTTGTGATTGGCGATTCAGGTGAAGCCTCATTTGAACAGACAAACTGGCTGGAAGAATTTCCTTTATGAGCAAAGGGTCATTAAATCAAAGAGTTCCATCCTCGTGCCAATTTGCATAATGAAGCCCTTGTGACAACTGCTGGCCTTGATTTACATCAATTGCATAGGTATGCCAGGCGTAAATGGGGCACGACCCAAAAGATGCTGCTTGCCTGATGACATCATTAGGCAAAAAAAGCAGAGATCAAAGAGAAGTTTGTTTCAGAACAAGTGAGATTTCGCTGTACCTAAAATTTACATTTCCTTCCCCACCCCTCTTATCTCTGGGTTTTTAAATCGTAGAGGGTCTCTTTGGGGGCAGGGAGGGGACCTGAGAGAGGGTAGAATGATGTTAAGAAATAAGTGTCAGGATGCAGTCGGGGCTGTTGTTCGTATGAAAAGTGAAAATGTCTTTTTTTTCTGCCATGCAGAGCAATTCTCAGCGGCTCCCAACGCTTCTGATATATTCCCGCACCCCTTAGAAAAGTTCGAAATAAGGGCAACGAATGATCATATACACTATAATTTTGGGGAAAAAAACAAGTTTTCACACACCCCTGGAGTATCGTCTCGCACCCCGGTTGGGAACCCCTGGTCCAACTGAAGGGAAACGAGAGAGGCATGGCCGAATTCAGAGGGAAAGAAAACACAGAGGCATTCAAAGAAACAACAGGGCTTCAAAAAAAAGAAAGAAAGAAAGAGAGAGAGAGAGAGAGAGAGAGAGAGAGAGAGAGAGAGAGAGAGAGAGAGAGAGAAAGAAAGAAAGAAAGAAACCACAACACACCACCCACATAGCCACCTACTCGTATGTGGGCCCCAACCTGGGTGGTGGTTACTATGGGGCGCTGGGCAGTCCTGTAGGGGGTGAAAGACTGAACAGACAAATTACCATGGCAGACAGATGTCAAAGCAAGAACAGACAGATGTTTGCAGCATTGACAACAGAATGACAAATATCCCCACAGCTACCCTCCCATTCATAATTTGGGGGGAAATTGGACTTTGTTGGAAATGTAGCTTGTGGCTGACCCCTGTTTGGAACGCAGGCTGTCCTCCCACTAAAGCAGACATGTCAAACACAAGGCCCGGGGGCCGGATGCGGCCCGCGAAGTGGTTTCATGTGGCCCGCGAAGCCATCCTGGAAACAGTGAGGGAACGGCACCCCTCTGCCTTGGTCCTGGCCCAGGCCGGCCGGGAGCCAATGTACAATTTTGTGGTGGCCACCTATGCTGAAACACATTCAGTCTTAGCTCCACAAGGCTGTCTGGAAACAGCGAGGAACCAGCCCCTGCCGCGTCGGCCCCATCCCCTGGGTCCATGCTGGCGAGGTGTCATCCTTTGTGAGGAATGAAGAAATGCACCATCGCTTGGAAGTGGCCAGCAAATGGCCCTCGCCTACTTCACATATCCGGCTTGATGGGCTCTGGGGCAGGGGTTTTGGCAGGCAGCGGGGCGCTCTCCTCACAGCGCCAAGAGGCTGAGCTGGGCAGCACAAATCCTCCAGTGGACCATGCCTTGGCACTTGCCCTGGTCCCACCCCCTTCTACCAGAGACCCTCAGATCTGTCCCACTCCTGCCCAGGCCCCCACAGGCACCCTTGATGCAAACAATGTAGAGCTGGCCATACCCACTCCATCCACCCACGCCTACCCAGCAGGCCGCCCCCCCTGGCCACACCACACCGAGGGCAACCGCAATGCTGATGCGGCCCTCAATGAAATTGAGTTTGACACCCCTGCACTAAAGAAAGCCCAGGGACTTCTCCATAAACCCAGTTAGAGAGGAGAGAGTCTTGCCAGGGAAATCTTGAAATAAAATATCTTCCCTAAAGGCAGCGGGTGAAGACAGGGTCATCTGACGGTTGGGTTTTCAATTATTCACCCGTTCCTTCAGCCTGGCTCGGCCAGGTAGATCCAGCCTCCGCCATTCAGATCCGAAAGGAGATGCTCCGCGGAGGACGTGCAACACTCACCCGGATGACCTCCACTGCAAAGTGCCCCTCGTTGATCATCTGGTTCCCCGTCTCGTCCAGCTTGACGATGGCTCCCGAGTTAGCCTGCACTTCAGCTTCAAAAGCTTGGTGCTTTTGCAGTTTCCCCTGGAGAAATATAACACACAAGGGTCAGCCCGTCCGACTCTCATCCGCCTCACCTGCCTGGTGGCCCCTGAAAATGTCCCCTTTACCTGCAGGTTGGAAGGATCTTTGTAGTTCTCATCCGAGGCAATCTGCAGCTTTTCCTGGATCCATTTCTCCAGCTCATCTGCGTCCCGCTGAAAAAACTGGAACCGGTAGGAATCTTCCAGCTTCTGGCGCCTCAGAGTAGAGAGTTCCTTAAAGCGGTGATACCGGTCCAAAACTTGCTGGCGTCTCTCCTGTATGTCCTCCGCCGTTTCCAGCACTTTGACCCCCGTGGGATCCATTCTCTGAAAGTCAAAAAGGCATCGATGAACAGGAGGGGATATATACAGGCGGTCCTCGGCTTACGGCCACAAAGGAGCCCCGAATATCTGTGGCTAAATGAGACACTTGTTAAGTGAGTTTTGTCCGTTTCACAGCCTCTCTTGTGAAGTGAATCACTTCGGTTGTTAAATTAGTAAAGTGAAACTGGCTTCCCCGTTTGGATTGCTTGTCAGAAGGTTCGCAAAAGAGGATAGCGTGACCTCCCCCGGGACCCTGCGACCGTCGTAAATATGAAGCAGTTGCCAAGCATCTGAATTCTGATCGCTCCTAAACGAACTGTTTTAAGTTGAAGACCACCTGTATGTTGGATCCCCACCTGTTGTCTAGAACAGAGGCCCCCAACCTTTTGGGCACCAGGGATCACCGGTTCCGTGGAGAGAGGTTTTTCCCGCGGCCCGGAGGGTGCGTGGTTTTGTGTGCTACCTGCATCCCGCGGATGGGGCTTTGCTTGTTTGTGCGGACCGGTTGCCAGCATGCCGCGGCCCGGTACCGGTCCACGAACCGGGGGTTGGGGACCCCTGCTCTAGAAGCTCCGATCCCTGCCCGTCTCCCGTGCCTGCTTTTGGCTTTACACCAGGAGCTGCAAAACTCAACAAACGTGCCTCTTGCTATTCAGGTCACACAGTTTTACTTGCCCTTCAGCTAGAGTGTGTGTGTGTGTGTGTGTGTTTGTGTGGAGGAGGAGGGGGGGAAACGACAAAAAGGCTCCCTTTGTCAGCCAGAAAACTAAGTCAATTGGAAGTGAAGTGCTTTAATGTCGGAATAATAATGTGCTGTTTTTTTCCACAGGAACAAAACACACAAGCGGGAAGGGGGAAAAAAAAAACCAACAACTCTGCGCAGGCAACTGGCTGACATCAGCAGTGGCTGTGTCCTGCCAATGCTGGAGAATCACCAGCGCAGCCGGTGCTGCAGAGCGATGCAGCCTGCATTTCAGATCGGCCTTTGCAAACGGCAGAAGCCGCAGCCTCTGCCTTCCACGTTTATCAGCCGGTTGCCTGCTGCAGTGGCCCGGCCCGGCCCAGCCCACCGCTGGAAAGCATCCATCTTTTGTCCTCTACCCCACCCCAAAATGGAGACCGGGTTTTTTTTTTCTCTCCCCACACTCTCTGGGCGTGATAGGGAAGAACAGACTTTGCTCTCCGACTCACACACACATACACACACCGCATTCCACACATTTTCTGTTGTGCAGGACACAGACCCGGCCCTGCCCAACGCAACTGCATTCTGCCGATAAGGTCAGAGACAGGCAGAAATGCCCAAGCTGGATTCAAAAGCTTATTTTGGGTCTCTCTGGACCTGAAACCCACTGGACTTCCAATTCTCGTCCCCCTGGGGGCAGCACGGTAACCCCTAGGCTGGCAGTGGCTAATGGGAGTCGGAGTCCTGCAGGCTGGTAGGTGAGGCCGGGCTGGAGAGGCCAGGAAAATAGCTACAGCTTGGAGATTTTAAGGCAGAGAAGCCATTTGAAATCGGTCAAGTCTCTAAAGAGGCTTTTTGCTTTTTTTAAAAAATAAAATAAAATTGTTCACTCCTCTCGTCTACCCAACAACGGGGCGGATCTGAGGCTGCCAGGACATCAAAGGAAAAGGCCTCTGAATATTTCTCTGAACCCAAAAGCAATTAAAATAGGAGAATCCAGGGAGAGAATGCTGAACAAGGGGTATTTTTAGCCCCTGCAATGCAACAGCCATAATGCTAGCAATTCCATTCACAAAGAAAAAAGCACATGTGTGGATTAAAGGGATTTTATAACTCTGCTTAGGCCACAGGCCACTTTATGGGTTTTTTTTCCTACCCAGAAGTACTGCATTCTTTGGCCAAGGAAAGCCTTAGTAACATAGGCTTAGCAAGACCATTTTAGCATTTTTAGGCTACCGTGTTTTCTCATACACATCTTTCTAGCATGTCTCCTAGTTAATAATAATAATAATAATAATAATGATGATGATGATGATGATGATGATGATGATGATAAAGTTGGAAGGGACCTTGGAGGTCATCGAGTCCAACCCCCTGCTCAGGCAGGAAACCCTATACCATTTCGGACAAATGGCTGTCCAGTCTCTTCTTAAAAACTTCCAGTGTTGGAGCATTCACAGCTTCTGGAGGCAGGTTGTTCCACTGGTTAATTGTTCTCACTGTCAGGAAGTTTCTCCTTACAGTTCTTTTTTTCGACGTGACATTTCCCCAGCTGTGTGTGCGTTTCTTTCTAAATTGTGTCCTTTTTCCCAACCATTCCCCAATCTGGATTTTTTTTTTTTTTGCTGCCGCTGTACAAAGCTTTTCTCGCCACCCAAAAGTGCCACCTCCTCACCTGTCCCATCCAGTTCAAAGCCCAGCAAGAGATAAACACCTGTATCGAGAATGCACAAAAGCTACTATGCTGCGGCTCATGCATATTATGCATTATGGCGTACAACGCTGACTGTGCCTTCAATAATGTGAAATATTTATCGCCAGTTACCATAAGCAAATTCCTCAAGTTTTAATCTGCCTTGCCTCGGGGACCACTGGAAGGCCTCCTATCCAGCCTCAGGACAGGCTACTTAAAATGCCTTGTAACTATCTTCTCATCCAAACAGGCAGAACTGACGTGCCGACAGGCGTTTCTCTGCGTGGGCGCGTGCATTCCTCATTATTTCAGGAAAGTTGAAATAACCTTCCACCAAGGGCCAAATGTAAACTTGGTGCTTGGATTCAGCTGCATTCAAAAATGAGCTGTCAAAGTATCAAAGTCCATCTTTGTGCGCGGGTGAGCTACTGCAGGAGTGATGCGGCAGATCCGAACCTTGGACAGCTTGTAAATTGCTGTCCTAACCACCCCGTTGCCTTCTACACCTTCTACGTCTACCTGTGATTTCAGGTGACAGCATCTTGAGCCGTTCTTCCTATCATCCTTGAAGGGCATCAATCAGGAAAGCATCAATCTTACATCTCAGTCTTGGTAGCATGCAGCAAAGCACAGGGAAATGATAAACCCACAAAAGTCTGAGATTTCATCACTTTGTCCAAAACATGACCTTTTAACGGTAGGCACTTTGTAGAGAAGTGAAAACGATATCCAAAAATCCAGCATAATGCCTGGGGGAGTACATGATTCCTTTTTATGCGCAGGAATCACTAAATACGCTGTTCATTTTATGCCGGATCCCATCATCATTTTAGGGTTAATGACCTTCAATTAAATACCTTCAACTTTCAAAGGCTTTCAGCTAAAACAAAGCAGAATTAAATCTTACCTCTCTTGGACTCTGAAATTATTTATGGTTTGAGTTGAAAGAATGAAGAACATTTGGATTTATCTATAAAATGATTAACTGGCATTTTTTTAAAAAATACCTCCCACCTCTAAATTAGTCATAGTCATGCAGTGGTTAGCAGAGACTGCATTCTGTGCTAAAGCACACCAGGAAAAATCAGTGATCTTCCACGGCATGAATACATTACATGCTAAACATGCAGAATCCAGAATTCATAGAACTTTGCAGCTCTTTTGCTCCAAATACCTAAACATAATTTCCCTGGCTTTATTGGTGTTGATGGGCACCCCATAATACTTTGCATCTTTCCTCTCCTGATCCACACGACCGTTTATATATTGCAAAATGTTAATTAAAAAAGTAGAAAAATTGCTTGGAAAAACAAGAGCGTATTAAAGCATTCTGGTTCCACTCCATGCATCAAAGACAAAATAAAACTGAGCACTTAAAATGCTCTTTGTCATGAGGGCGAAAAGGGCAGAAACATCAAACAAGAAAAAGTGTGGTCCCGCATGCATATTTCAAAATACCTGCGCTCTGACTTTGCGAAAGGACGACAACATGATGAAGGAGAGTCTAAAAGGGAGGAGTATATCAAGATAACTTTTTTTTACTAATTCTACGATAAATCCGTAATAAAACTGCTATATTATTTAGTCATAATACCAGCCATTTTCAAACATTAATTGCAGGAAAATTAACCCATCCCACATTCTTACTAACTCCTTTACCTGGTTAAAATTAACAGTAATTAAAAAAAACATACCCTACTTTCTGCTACTGTTAATTTTATTAGATCAATACTCTTCTATTATTTCTGTCAATTCATTTATGGGTTTCTTAACAAGGTGACAGCACTTTATTCCACAACACAACTAAATGCAAAATAAATCCAAGTTTAATTCCAACACAGAAAATTTAAAAAAAAATCTTAACATAATTTAACAAAATTGTTTTTTTTTCTTAATTGGGATTTACCACTTTGCTCGAGCTTTTTAATTCCAAAATAAATGTTTTCTAGAATCTTTTAATAGCATCCTTTAAGTTCCTGTGTGAGAAGAAGATTCTAGACTACAGTTTGAATCACCACCTACAATGAACCTTACCTAACTGGATGTGCTTGAAATTAATTCTGGCTGTCTATTCCTCATGGCACTCCCTAAAGTCTAAATAAAATAAAATTAACCAGCTGAATTGGAACCCATGTTTCAAAGCGAAAAATTTAAAGAATGCAAGATTTAAAATAATTCTACAGGTTAATACTGCATAACAGACATTTCACTGAATAAGAAAATAGTGTGGCTGTTAACAAGCAGTATAATATTAACATTAATCCAAATACACATATACAAACATACCTGACCTCAAATCTTGTCGGTTTATTCTGTGCATAAAAAGGCAATTAAGAGAACTGGACTGAATATTTTTAATGTATAGGGATTATATATTCTGATAAAGCAGAAGGGACAAAGGATTTATGCTAGCCCAAGTCCTTTCTTTCTGTATGTAAGAGATCTTGAAATATGACAGACTGTACAATCATTTAAAAAATTGTGGCATTTTTAAGCATTGCTAGTGCTCTTATACCGGCACTTTAAAAAAAAAAAAACAGCTCATTTTCCAGGGTGCCCAATTTCCTGGAAATCATGCTTTTGGGAAACACCATTGCTGCAAACAGAGGTTAGATGAGTGTGTTCTCTTATATATTTTCCTGCTTTTTAAAAAACAAATGGATGGATAGCAAGTTTAGCCTCATTCAAGCCTGGACGTGGAATCTGCTTTGCTTTGGGGGGGAAAAAGGCAGATTAACTTGAAAGGGCCATGGTTAATTTGCCAGGCATAAGTGAATCCGAATGAAATTCCTGCTGTTGCACAGGGCGGATCCTGCCTCTCCCCCACACCACACACACACACACACGCAACATAAGGTCATTTGTGCTTATCCTTTCCAAGGGCGGAAGGAACAACCAGTTCACCAGGGCCAAGAAAACAATGCAGCTACCACACCCAGCTCTCTTCCATCCTTATCCTTTTTTTAAAGCAAGGCAATTTCAGGATTTGAGCAAAATTTGCTGGGCTGAAGATGTCTTTTTTTTTTTTTTAATGGCAAGCTAAGGTGACAATACACACGTGAGGTTTGCAAGCACCAATGATGCAGTCCGAGTACTGTACTGATAAATTATGGACAGACCTATCTCTTACAAAGGACAAGTGACTGAATGTCATAACTCAGATGAATTTAGAATAACTATATCATTTAGCGTTAAAATATATTACTTTTCCAAACTCAAACAAAAGGATTATCATCTTCAGTTTACTTTTTGATAGAAATAATACACAGGTATATCCCAAGACACAACTGGCCTTTTTTTTTCCCCTTTGAAAGCGTTTCACTTCTTCAATTCTTGGATGAGAAGCCAAACGTTTTCAAAGGAAAAAAAAAAAAGCAAGGAAGTCTAGTTGTCTTTTGGAAAAAAAACATTTTTGGGACAAACGTGGCCCAGATGATTGAGAATCCCCATGGATATTTACACGTGTATATGCTACCTGCTCTATAATGCCTCTGGAGGGCTTATAAAAATATAAATTAATAGTTTTACTTTATACATGCCAACCTGCTGGAAAAGGCCGACAGATCAGAGGCAGATGATTAGCAGGAAGTGTAAAGATCAAGTTTGGTGTGTGCATGACTGATAAGGGAATGAAGGGTTAAGCAATCGGAGGGGCTGTTCCAGTAAGGTTGGGAAAAATATTTCAAGTTTCTCAGCATTTTCTTTCAGGCCACTAGGTAGCCAAAATGCCTTGCATCTAATTCAACTGAAGATTCTTCATCTGTAGCAGACATAACTTTAATGTGCTGGGTTATCCTCTGGCTGGAATCAAATTAGGATTTTACTTGGGGCGTCAACTTTTTCCCTGTCCTACCTTAGCAAATAATCTATAGCAGGGGTGTCAAACTTGCAACATCACGTGATGCGTCGTGGCTTTTTCCCCATTGCCGGCAATGGGGTGGGCGCGGTTTCGCCATGATGCATCAGGCCCGCGAGCCGGCAGTTTGACACCCCTGATCTAAAGGGTTTATGTTTTTAAGCAGTCTATGCCAAATTAAATGAATTCATACAAGGAGAGAATGCTCTGAAAAACAACAATCGCAAGAAAACCTTACAATTGTGGAAATAGCAACATATTGAAAAAAGAAAGAGATGGATACAAGGAAATAACCAGACCTGCAGTTTGGCCCGTTTTTTCAATTTCCTCTCAAGAATTGTTACGTGGAAATAAAAAACATTTAAATAGTGACCGTTTCTCTCTGCTCCTCCTTTCTATATAATGGGAACATTGTTTCCTCCGCAGTTTGGAAGACGTCTCTCAACAATGCTTCAATGCAATCAGTACAAACTTATTAGGATTACGCTGAATTATATGCCAAGATCAGGAATCCTGTGCCCCCTCCTACCTCTTCAGAGGCAAGTCTCGCTTGCCTAGAAAACCTTACTCCCAAGGCTGAAGTATGTACTCATCATTCCAATCGCCGTGTAACTCGATCGCCGCAAATTCAAATTATGCCTTGCTCCAAAGCCAAAATTCTCAGGATGCTGCAGCTACACAACCCTCTCAAAGAACACGTACGGAAAGCCCCTCCACCCCCGCTGCATTCAAAGCCGCTCACTGAAGGCATATTGGTTTAAAAAAGTAAATTTACTACTAAATGCTTATTCCTTTGCAAAGTCTACTAGCTAGGCCTTTACAGAGGGCACTTGAACAGAACGTACTCAAAAAGTTTGGGTTTAGCTGGGCGTGTGAAATCAACCCTGCACATTTGAAGTGAATGAAATCGGAGGAATAAAATGGTATGCCGTGATTTTAATACCTGGCATGGTGGTGTCGTGGAAAAACCCAATGAAAAAGACCAGAGATGGCAAATTCTTACTTTAGGATTCCTCTGAATCTTAACGAATTGTTTTGTGTTGCTGTCTCTTGCCTTTTTCATTGGGTTTTTCCACGAAGGTGGGTTAGAGTCAGTCATGGTTGAAGCAAACCCAGCTGGGTGTGCAACACGTAAACCTAACACACACACACATCCACACCCACACCCACGAAAGAAGTCCTTAATATACAAAGATAGGACGTTTTCCCCCTTTCATTTCTGAATGCAGAAGGCTGGGTACTCTAGATTCCAAAGCCCATCATCCCCTGCCAAGGGAAGCTGGCCTGGAGCCCTTGGAGAGGAGCCAGGCTGCAAGACGGCTGCAATGCAATCTACTGGATGCTTTGCACACCTAAAGCACCTTACCTGTCCACCCGCGCAGGCGCAGAAGGAGCGCGCGCGCTGCCGGGGCGCCTAGAGAGGGCGCTCCGAGGCCTCGCCCATCTTTTCGCCCCGCGGACCCCCCTCACGGGGCTGCCCGTTACCCCGGCCGCCCTTCCGCGTGTTTCCCCCCCCCCCGCTTCCTCCTCATCCTCACCGGGTCGGTTCGAAGGGCCCCCCCGCGCCTCTCTTCAGTCCGCCACGCGTGGATGCACCCCTCCTCTCAGCCCCCTCAAACACCGACTGCGCTCCGCCGGCGCCGACGCCCCTATTTATAAGGTGGGCCGAGATGACGTCATCGCCGCAGAGCCGGCCGCAGCAGCCGAAGCGCGCCGGGGCGGAGCTTGGGCGGCGGAAAGACCCGAGCCAAAGGAATGCGAGCAGCCGAGGGCAGCCGAACGGGGCCGGAAAGAGCCGAAGGGAGGCGAAAGCTTCAAGGGCAAATGTTTTGTTCTCAATGCGGAGTGCAACACAAATCACGTCGATTTATTGTCTTGCTCAGCCAGAATAATAAAAACTTAAGCCTATTCGGATGTCTTCCGCCCTGACAGTGATGGATGCTGTCCTGCAGCATGTCTAAAAGATCCCGCCTTTGGAGAGTGCATTGAATTTTGCATTAATTTGGGGTTTTTTAGGGGGGGAATCTGTCCCCCCCACACGTATATAAGCAGAGTCCTCCTGAAACCAACAGAAAAATAGATTTTTCCCAAGTTTTCTGCACCCACTTCAATCCATACGTGGGTAGGGTCTCCTTGGAGATGTAATACATTTTAGTTCATTCCTTTTCGGCACTCCGAAGTCCAGAAATAATGAGCACCCCAGTTTGCTCCCTGTGATTGTGCTTTTGCTGATCAATCTCACACAGGTTTGATCCTGAAATAAGACTTTCGGATGATACTTGGACTTAATCTTTGCATGTACCAAGGGTGCAACTAGTGATGAAAGGCTTAAGTCTGGGATAGGATAGGATAGAAAAGAGAATAGAATATAAAAGAGAATAGAGAATAGAATAGAATATAAAAGAACAGAATAGAAAAGAATAGAAAATAGAATAAAGAATAGAATAGAAAAGAGAACAGAATAGAAAATAATAGAATAGAATAGAATAGAATAGAATAGAATAGAATAGAATAGAATAGAATAGAAGAGTTGGAAGGGACCTTGGAGGTCTTCTAGTCCAACCTCCTGCTCAGGCAGGAAAGCCTATACCATTTCAGACATGTCATGACTGCATTGATCTTGGCCAATCAGACATGTTTTATTTTTTTGTCTTTTATCCTCTCAAGGAGGTTAAACTGAGCATAGTCACTGGACCAAACAGCGTAAACAAGTAGGAATTCTACACCAGCTCTTCTCCTAGGCCAGCTCTTCAAATGGAGAGGTTAGATTGGTCTTTTACTTCTTCTTACTATATTCTCAACTACAGCCTTTCAAGATAGGATTAAATGCCTGAGTCTATGCAGGGTTTCTTCCAAGCAAATCTGCACATGTTCCTCTCTCAAAAAAAAAGGAGCAGCTTTTTCTATCCAGTGGATTTTGCCTGTCTGTCCCAATTGCGAGCTGCCGCTCCCTAACTTTCTCCACCTAGCTGTTCAAATCAAAATCGTTCAATTAATCTTTGACATCAACTTGGAACAGATGCCAGGGAACTGGAGCCAAGCTTTGCTTCCTTCGTTCTCTGGAGCCAATATCTATCTATCTATCTATCTATCTATCTATCTATCTATCTATCTATCTATCTATCTACATCTATTATCTATCATCCATCTACTATCTATCCATTATGTTTATTTGCTCTCATCTAATCTATTTGTGTCTATCTATGTATCTATCTATGTATCTATCTATGTATCTATCTATCCATCCATCCATCCATTATCTATCTGCTATCTCATCTAATCTATTTCTGTGTCTGTCTGTCTGTCTGTCTCTCTCTATCATCTATCTTTAAAAAAAAGAACAAGCTGCACGGTTTTAAGCTGCATGTAGCAGCAGTACACACAGCCAGGAGACTGCAACAACACCAGCATTGTCTAAAAGGAACATGACTTTTCACAATTCAGATGTGGAAGGGAGGCTTCCTCCGGCCCTGCCCGGTGCTGGACACAAAGGTGAGTATCCTTATGCCAGCAATCTTTGGATGCAACAAAATGCCGAATAACAATATTCCTTTGAGACTGGAGAGGCCAAGGATTGCTGAGTTACGTTTCACAATCTATATAGCTACTGACGCACTAAATCCATCGGTTTGCAGAGGTCTGACAATCGTACATGAGCCTCCTCACACTCCCACAAACATGTGGACGTGGGCTAAACGCATGCAAGTCACTGCAAGGCTTTTGAAAGATCCGAGCCATTTCCCCAAGTCTTATTATTTCCGGTGTGGTCTAAAGTAGGGGGTCCCCCAACCCCTGGACTGGCACCGGGCTGCGCAAACAAACAAAGCCATCTCCACAGGATGCAGGCAGCACGCAAAACCTGTCTCCAGAAGTTGTGAATGCTCCAACACTGGAAGTTTTTAAGAAGAGGCTGGACAACCATTTGTCTGAAATGGTATAGGGTTTCCTGCCTGAGCAGGGGTTGGACTAGAAGACCTCCAAGGTCCCTTCCAACTTTATTATTATTATTATTATTATTATTATTATTATTATTATTATTATTATTATTATTATTTTATACCATGCCCCCTCCGGTCCGCAAGAAAACCTTTCTCAATCAGTTAGAATAGAGCCAGAAGGGACCTTGGAGGTCATCTAGTCCAACCCCCTGTTCAAGCAGGAGACTCTATACCATTTCAGACAAATGGCTGTCCAGTCTCTTCTTAAAAACCTCCCGTGATGAAGCAGCCACGACTTCTGGAGGCAAGTCGTTCCACTGGTTAATTGTTAGGAAATTCCTCCTTAGTTCTAGGTTGCTTCTCTCCTTGATTAGTTTCCATCCATTCTTTCTTTCTCTTGATTTCTGGTGCTATGGAGAATAGGTTGACACCCCCCCTCTTCTTTGTGGCAGCCCCTCAAATACTGGAATACTGCTTATCATGTCCCCCCTAGTCCTTCTTTTCTCTAGACTGGCTATTCCCGAATCCTGCAACTGTTCTTCATTTGTTTTTTGTCTCCGGGCCTTTAATCATCTTAAGTTATTCTTCTTTGTACTTTTTCCAAAGTCTCAACGTCTTTTTTGTAATGTGGTGACCAAAGCTGCATGGAAATGGTCCCTGGTGGCCAAAAGATTGAGGGTCGCTGGTCTAAAGAATTTTCTTTAACAATTCTTGAAGATGAAAATTGTTCTTATGCTCCCTCCCTGGAATTCAGCACTGTATGAAGGCCACATTATGAGTTCCATCTTTAAAGTAAACCAATAAGAAAGAGACGAAAGCAAATGCCGTAAAATAAACAACAACCCTGAGATTAGAAATTCCGAAGTCTTTACTTTGAAAACAGGCATGCGCAAACATTAAAAATAAGTTACTCGATGAAAGCCTTTAAAATAAAGCTCCTTGGAGCTCTAATGACATTCCAGGCAGTTTCTTCCAAAGGTTTATTATCTTTATCATTGTAAAATCATCACTGCAGCAAATGGACACAAAAAGCTCAACATTTCATGCTTGATTGAGCTAACACAATTGCTGTCGTAAATCTCCCACTCTACCAGCAAGCTGGATCCCATTGTACGAAAAATATATAAGTTATCAGAAATACTTTACTTTACTGTTTAGCACCGACACATAAAAATATAAATTCCTCTTCGTTTTCCACCCGTTGCTTGTAAGTAGCAAAAGTGAAAATCCCACAGTCCTATTGTTCATTATTGGATCCAGGAGGCAGAAAACCGTTGCTTCCAGACAGATTTGAAGCAGTTTCCCTTGATTTTATGAAAATTAAAACAGCCAGCGGGAACGTTTTCCTTTTTCCATTCATGGTTCTATTTTGAGGGGGGGAATCTTACTTCGACTAAATGCTACTAAGCTCTTTAAAACCTTTCTTTCTTTCTTTCTTTCTTTCTTTCTTTCTTTCTTTTTCTCTTTCCTTTCTCTTTCTTTCTTTCTTTCTCTCTCTCTCTCTTTCTTTCTTTAAGAAAAAGAAGGCCACAAATCAATTCATGCTCTTTCAGCATTGCTTGGATGTGCTCAAAGGTTTTTCCACTCTGCCTGCTTTTTTAAAAACAAGAGGCAGTCAGCCACGGCTTTTGCTGCAAAGGACTGCAGCGCTTTAATTAAGAATTAGTCTCTCTTCTAATTCAACCGCAGTGGTTGAGACACTGAGGTGTGGGGTGTGGTTTTTTTTGGTGTGCGTTAAACTTCTGAAGTTAATAAACACAGGAGTCCCTCGAGGACATTGAAACCAATTTGTTTCTGTGTCTTAGGAGGATGGGTATGGCACGGCAGGAAAACAGAATGACACACCCGTGTGCAAAAAAAGTCTCCCTCATTTGCGAGGGCAAAGAATGGTCGAAAATATCAGACGGTCTTCGACAATCTCGTAAAGCTGACGAGCCATTCCCAGATTCTGCAGAGAATCCAAATGTTGTTGTTTTTTTAAAAAAATCAGCCTACAGACTTTTTTAATATAACAAAAAAAAACAACAACCCCTGAAGCAAGCTATTTTTTTTTCACCTTCTGTAAAAGTGCCAGGGGATCCGACCCTCAGGATTTCCAAAAAGAGGGTGGCAAATAGCCTTTGGGGAGAGGAATGTTTTTTCGTTGTAAGCATTCCTGGGAAGAGAAGAAAAGATGATTTTAAAGGCAGGACGTTCCAATCCCCCGACATCCCTCTGGATGCCTAACCTAACAGTACAATGCAAACGCTGACAATACAGTGATGAGGCTGCAAAAAAAGCTACTGTGCACTGTTTGCGATGGGGGGGGGGAAGCGAGTCTGAGGGAGACTGATATGGATTCAGAGAACGGCTGGAGCAAATTGGGACGTTCTCGGTGTGCCCCGGGAAGGGATGAGAGCAGAAAGATGAGAGAAAACGGAGAGGTCTGGCAAAAAATAGCAATGCGGATGAGGATGGAGACTACGAAAGGCTCCACAGAGAAGGTGGTGGTTGGTTGGTTGTGTGTATGTGTGTGTGTATAAGGATGACTCTGCTGCTACTCTGAAGGTTGCTTCCATCACATTCTTAATTTGAGGGGTCCCTGGTGCTCTCTGAGCTTGGTTGTTTTCTGGTGGAGGAGGAGGAGGAGGAGGAGGAGGAGGAGGAGGAGGAGGAGAAGAAGAAGAAGAACAAGGAGGACTGTGGGTTCCTTGGTGCTCTTCGACCTTGGTTGTTTTCTTGCAGACGTTTCATTACCTAACTAGGTAACATCATCAGTGCTAGAAGGGAATGGGCTTTGCAGAGAAGAGGTGGAGGAGGAGGACTGTGGGGTCCTTGGTGCTCTCTGACCTTGATTGTTTTCTTGCAGATGTTGCATTATCCAAACTAGGTAACACCATCAGTGCTAGAAGGGAGTGGGGGGGGGGAGGAGGAGGAGGAAAAGGAGGAGGAGGAGGAGGAGGAGGAGGATGACGACAATTGTGGGGTCCTTAGTACTCTCTGAGCTTGGTTGTTTTCTTATAGATGTTGTATTATCCAAACCAGGTAACAACATCAGAGCTAGACACTCCTGATTGAAAAGGGAGCCTCATATCAGTCGACAATATTCTTACAAGCAGGAGACTTTGCAAGTTGTGTGGTCTGGAGCTTCCTAACAGTTGAGGAAGCAGAGAGCTGAGTGCCTAAAAGGCTGAGGAAGTGGGGACAACCGAAGGAGGGGGGGGGGGAAAAAACAACCAGCCAAACTCAGCCGCCCTTGTCTTAGCTGAACACCTAGATTGAGAGAACATCCACTTACCTTTAAAAATTGCTTGAATCGTATGAGGGAGCCCATTTCTCCGGGGCTGGTAATTGCTTCAATCCTGGAGGGGAGAAGAGAAGATTCAAATATTCAAAGGTTGAACTCCTAATACTGCCGGGTCTTTGATTTACTCTGTCCTCTCCCCGTTTGGCCAATAATCGGGACTGAGAAGAAGATTGACAAAGAACTTCTGAAACTCACAACTCTTCCCAGAGGGGAATGCTCTGTCCCAGCTTACTCAAGGATTTGTAATTGAGCGAGCAGGGGAAAAAAAGCAAACAAACAAACAAAACTGTTTGACAACCTCTTCCTCACAACTGGGAAAAACGCAGAGGGAATCGCGTGCGTTTCAGACTGCCGCCAAATTCCAGGCCGTACCTGGGAAAATATTCTTCCTGGATCAGGAGAAGCAACTTCCAAAATTGCACCTGGTACTGCTTCATGAGAGCATTCCCACACACCTGAGGCACACAAAACAGAAGAAGGTCAAGCCGTGCTATCAGAAAAGAGGATTGCAATCTACCTTAAACTGATCCAAGTTAACACAGCTCAGCCACGTTAATAGGGGATCATAGTTACTTGTGGACTGGAAGGAGAAGGAAAGAACCACAGGCAGTCAAGGAGCTGCTCCACTTACCTCCAGGAAATCGAACAGAACGGTTGCTGTCACATCTGCCAGAGGCTCCATGTTCAACATCTGTGCCAGCCAACGCCAGGCATGGTTTAATCCGTGTGGGTGAGTCTAACGGACAAAAAGAAAGAACAGTTTCCTAAATTACTTCTATTTTAACCAATAAACCCTACTTTATTTTCAAGCTCTCTTTCATAGCTGGCGTCAAGCCTGAAGCCTGCTTTGCTGATGCAACAATTATGGCTTCTTAGCTGGCCAACGAACTTGGGGGGGACGATGGGAAAATGGAATGCAGGCTACAGAGGTAAAGGCAGACCATGAGAATCAAGGACGAGTCACCAGATGCCTGGCCCAACTCAGAGCCATTTTCTCATAACAATATATTTCCACCTAACTGGGCAATGTGACCTGTTCAAGGATGGGAGGGCGGATTCTATTCTTTAACTATAGGGGTTCGGCTTAGGGGTTTGTCAGAGATGGTTTCGCTTTCACACGTGCCGAAATGATGTAGTCAATACAGCTTTACATTAAGAGATCAGAAAGTCTTGAAGAGGTTTGCTTATTTGGGTCCGTCAGTCGGAACCTTGACAGTTTGGCTTCCATCTGAAGCAGCCTCAACAAGTTTTCTGAGCAGACTCAGAGGCTGTTAGAAAGGACACCACTGCAGGGAAGGTGAAAAGGGCTGCCAAAACAGTTAACCAAGTGTGGAAAAGTCCGTCTTTTATCGATCAGCAGTGAAACTCAACATTAAGAAAACCAAAATCATGGTATCCAGCCCTTTCAATTCCTGGCAAATAGATGGGGAAGAAATGGAGGTAGTGACAGGTTTTATCTTCCTGGGCTCCAAGATCACCTCAGATGGGGACTACAGCCAAGAGATTAAAAGACGCTTGCTCCTGGGGAGGAAAGCTATGGCAAATCTAGACAGCATACTAAAAAGCAGAGACATCACCCTGCCAACAAAAGTGTGTACAGTCAAAGCCATGGCTTTCCCAGTTGGAATGTATGGCTGTGAAAGTTGGACCATAAGAAAGGCTGAGCGACAAAGAATGGAGGTCTTTGAACTCTGGTGCTGGAGAAGACTCCTGCGAGTCCCCCGGACTGCAAGGCGATCAAACCGGTCAGTCCTAGAGGAGATCAACCCTGACTGCTCTTTAGAAGGCCAGATCCTGAAGTTGAAACTCAGGTACTTTGGCCACCTAATGAGAAGGAAGGACTCACCGGAGAAGGGCCTGATGCTGGGAAAGATGGAGGGCAATAGAAGAAGGGGACGACAGAGAATGGGGTGGCTGGATGGAGTCACTGAAGCAGTAGGCGTGAGCTTCAATGGACTCCAGAAGATGGTAGAGGACAGGAAGACCTGGAGGAACGTTGTCCATGGGGTCGCGATGGGTCGGACACGACTTCGCAATTAGCAACAACAACGACCGAAGACCCACTTACCCCTTGTTTATCCTGATACGGCCACTGAAGCTGCAGGATGGCCGCATAGAGTCGGATCATTCCAGACATCCGTTTTAGAAAGTTGTCTTGAGGCTCTACTTTCCCATCCTTCACTTGGTAGCCAAGGGTCCTAAAAAAGAGGTGGTGAATTGGGAGCCCTGGGGTCCTAGCTTAACACGAACCGCTCGTAACTCAACATCTAGCTTTAACCCAGCATATCAATGTTGGATTGCTGAGCACCACAAACCGAATCTGTTCACAGCTCTCCAACGCAAACCCTCCCCAGTTCTTGGGTACCACTGCTTACGGAGGGTCCTCGACTTACGACGGCAATTGAGCCCAGCTTTTCTGTGGCTACGTGAGGCAGTTGAGTTTTGCCCTCTTTGACAACCTTTTTTGTCACACTGTTAAGTGAATCGGTGCAGTTGTTCATTTATAACACCGTTGTTAAGCGAATCTGGATTTCCCCGCTGACTTTTGTTTGTCAGGAGGTTGCAAAAGGGGATCACGTGACCCGACACACACACCCCGGACGCTGCAACCGTCGTACATATGAACCAGTTGCCAAGTGTCTGAATTTTGATTGTGTGACTGTGGGGATGGTGCTGCAACGGTCAGGTGAAAAGTCATTAAGTCATTTTTTGTAACTTCGAAACAGTCGCTTAAATCGGGGGTCCCCAACCCCCAGTCTGTGGACCAGCACCGGGCTGCGGCCTGCCAGAAACCGGTCCGCGCAAACAAGCAAAGCCCCATCTGCAGGATGCAGGGGGTACATGAAATCTACGCCCCCTCCAGTTTGCGGAAAAACCTCTCTTTGGCTATTTTAAAACATGGAAGTATAAATACTAAAAGTTAAATTCGAATATTGACTTGTTTATAAAGGTTGAATATAAAGCTATTTAAGATATATATATATAAGCTAAAAATATGTTGATAAATGTAATCAACATGTTTTTGCTTCACGGATATAATAAAAACCGTACTAGCTTAAATATGCGATAATAGACATTAAGGGAAAAGACAGGAAGTATTTGATGTTGAAACAAGAGAAAACTTGGTTACTAAATTTAAGACGTTTGGAAATTAATAGGAAATAAGAATGGTATATTCTGTTATCAATTAGTTGACGTAAGATAGCGAGAAATAGAACATATCTAAATAGATGTGTATTCTGAATATTAGACTCTGTGATGAATTGTGAAAATGGGAACTTCAGTTACTCAAAACTTGGAAATTATAAATGTTAAATGTTAAAGTTAAATATTAAGAGGAAATTAAAAATTGGGGAAAACCAATTTAGGACATTGTCTATAAAGACTGAATGTTTAAATAATAAGGATATGTATACACCAAAAATTATTGACCGATGCAAGAACGTCATTTTTATTTAATTGGTTTAATAAGAATTGTATTAGTTTAAACAGGAGACAGTAAACGCTAAGGGGAAAAGAGAGGAAAAATTTAATGTAGGAGCTTGAGATTTGTACTAAGGATGCTTGTATGTTATTGTATGTTATTGTGTTATCATGGAAAAACCTCTCTCCATGTAACCAGTCCCTGGTGCCCAAAAGATTGGAGACCTCTGACTTAAATGAATTGCTGCAAATTTTAGGACTCCCAGTACAGCCTCGCTCGGCTTCCCAACCGCCCAGGATGCTCAACTGAATTAAATCACCTCTGATACTCTGCCAGGGGGGTGCCTTCCTTCATTGCAGGGTAGAAGGGGACGGCGTAAGGACACTTTTTGTGCAAATGAGCCAGGATGAGGGTGCCCACCTTGGGGTGCAGCTCCCAGATGCCAGACGCCACCACGGCAATGGGGAACGCAGCTTCGTGGTGAGAGGCTACCTCTTCTTCGCCTTGTTTCTGGAAAATAATCCAAAAGAGATATTTTAGCCTGCTCTAACTGCCCCAAGGAAGAAGAGAACTTCATCCATCACCAAACATGGGTTCAACATCGTTTGTAAATCCTCTTTTACGGGCAGGGCGGTACATAAACCCAGCCTGTGTGCGTATTTTAAGGCCAAGCTTTTTTTTTTCCCCAATCAGAATTATCCAGATTTCCTTCCCTCTATTGACTGGATTATTTACTGAGCCGTGGTGGCGCAGGGTTTAGAATGCAGTATTGCAGGCTAATTCTGCCGACTGCCGTCAGTTCGATCCTAACCGGCCGAAGGTTGACTCAGCCTCCCGTCCTTCCGAGGTCGATAAAATGAGGACCCAGATTGTTGGGGACAAGAGGTTGACTCTGTAAATTGCTTAGAGAGGGCTGTAAAGCACCGTAAAGCGGTATATAAGTCTCAGTGCAATTGCAATTGCTGTCTGTCTGTCTATTTATCTATGAGCTGTAGTGGTGCAGAGGATACAATGCAGTATTGCAGGCTAATTCTGCCGATCGCCAGCAGTTCGATCCCGACCAGCTCAAGGTTGGCTCAGCCTTCCATCCTTCCAAGGTCAGTAAAATGAGGACCCAGATTGTTGGGGGCAAGATGCTGACTCTGCAAACAGCTTAGAGGGGGCTGTACGGAACTGTGAAGCAGTGTATGAGTCTAAGTGCTATTGCTATCTATTTGTCCGTCCGTCCGTCCGTCCGTCCGTCCATCCTATCTATCTATCTATCTATCTATCTATCTATCTATCTATCTATCTATCTATCTATCTATCTATCTATCTATCTATCTATCTATCTATCTATCTATCTATCATCTATACTATCCAATCTATCTATCTATCTACCTACCTACCTACCTACTCTGATGGCGCAGTGGATAGAATGCGGTATTGCAGGCTAACTCTGCCCTCTGCCAGCAGTTCGATCTTAACCGGCTCAAAGTTAACTTGGCCTTTATCCTTCAGAGGTCAGTAAAATGAGGACCCAGATTGTTGGGGGCAAGATGCTGACTCTGTAAACAGAGGGGGCTGTAAAGAACTGTGAAGCAGTGTATGAGTCTAAGTGCTATTGCTATTTGTCCATCCATCCATCCATCCATCCATCCATCCAATCTATCTATCTCTCTATCTATCTCTCTATCTATCTACCTACCTACCTACCTACTCTGATGGCGCAGTGGATAGAATGCGGTATTGCAGGCTAACTCTGCCGACTGCCAGCAGTTCGATCCTAACCGGCTCAAAGTTAACTCGGCCTTCCATCCTTCAGAGGTCGGTAAAATGAGGACCCAGATGGTTGGGGGGGCCAATATGCTGACCCTGTCAACTGCTTAGAGAGGGCTGTAAAGCACTGTGAAGCGGTATATAAGTCTAAGCGCTATTGCTCTTTTCAAGGCAGCTTCAAAGAAGCCCGAGGTAAATGACGATTTAAAAGACCACCTGTGCAGAGTCACCTTTTGATCTGGAGAACTTTTTTTTTTTTTTTTTTTTGCCAGTATGACCTTCTTACCACAAACTTTTCAGCCAGTTTGAAATAAACAAACTCCAGGCCTTCGGGGTGCTGCGTGACAGATACTTTGTGGCCCCCACACTGCACGTACTTTCCCGAAAGGAAGCTATTGATTTTTTCAAATATCTCCTTCAGCTGAGAACCTGTGAAGACCAGCAGAAGAAAAAGATACCAATGAGAAAAGCAGCTGGAGCAGGAAGCCAGGTTTAGGCATTTGAAATAAATAACGTTACGATAGCCAAAGCAAGCGGCTGGGCCAAGAACGTGGGTTTTGGTGTTATATATGATATCAGACATATAGTCATCAAGGTCAGACAGGTGTTCTCTGACCGCTTTCTTGCTTATTTTAATTTGTATTTGTAGTCTGTCTTTTACAGCTATGTTTTTGGCAGGTTGGGCTATAGTTTCTTTTTGCGTGAAGACTAATGCAAAGAATGAGTTAAGCAGCTCTGCTTTCTCTCTACTGCCTGTTACTTCCTTGCCATCTTCTCTTTATTGGACCCACACTTTCCTTGACTTTTTTGCTGTTATGTTGAAAGAAACTTTTTAACATTATCTTTGACTTTTGTTGCAAGTCTTTGTTCATTCTGAGCCCTTTGCTTTCCTGACTTCATCTTTGCAGATTCGGGCTATCTGCTGATACTCTGCCTCAGTGATGTTTTTTTGTACTTGTCCTTTTTGCCTTTCAGTTTATCAAAGATAAACTGAACCACCATGCTTGTTCCTTCTTGGATTTCTTGTTTTTCTTTTTCAGTGGTATTGTGTTGGACTGGGCTTTTATGATCGTATTTTTCAGTGTTTCCCACACTTCTTGAGTTGTTTTCCCCTTTAGGATGTTTATCCATGGGATTTTTCTTACGTTCACTCTGAGTTTGTTAAAATCAGCTCTTTTAAAGTTTAAGACACTGGCTGGGTTATGTTCTATTGCTTGTGTTTGCATTATATTGAATTCCAATATGTGATGTGGTCACTTTCCCCTAACGTTCTGGTAACTTCAACTCCCTCTATCACTTCTTCTCTATTAGTAAGAATTAGGTCCAGTATAGTTCCCTCCTCTACCTTTTGGATGACAAAGGTGTCAGCTAAGTTGGTTAGCAATCTGTTCGATCTCCCACTTGCTGCAGAGTTTGTCTCCCAGTTGATATCAGGGTTGATAAACAAGTGTAATAGCGATTAGCAGTTGATAAAATTGCTAATATTGTGATCAGACGTTTTATAAGGAATAACAGAACTAGGGCTCACCTGCGATGGTCGAAATCTGGCTAACAGGGATGGTGGCAGATTTCTGAAATTCCATTTTGATTTTTTTCTCCTGGGGGGGGAAAAGGGGGGGAGAAACGTTCAGAAGCTGAGCTTAGCGCAGGATTCCAAACTTCATGTTGTGGTACAAGTGCTGGCTGGGGAATTCTGGGAGTTGTAGTCCTCCAAGTCTTTAAAAGTGGCCAAGGTTGGATAGGATGATCTAGGAATATTCTTACCTGCGTGTCTTTGCTGCTGGCCAAGCAGCTGAAGGAAGCCACACACTGCTGGCATTCTTTCTGTAACTCCTGGTACCACTTCATGATGGACGCGTCTGCCTTTACCTGAAGCCCTGGAGACATGATAGCAAAGCAGACATGGGCACTGGAAAACTAGTTCAGCTAGTCCTTGGTTTACAACTGTTCGTTTAGTGACTGTTCGAAGTTACAACAGTACTGAAAAAAGTGACTTATCACCATCCAGTTTTGTAGAAAAGAAGTTGAGACTCTAGAAAGAGTACAGAGAAGAGCAACAAGGATGATTTGGGGACCGGAGGCTAAAACATATAAGGAACGGTTGCTGGAATTGGCTATGTCTAGTTTAACGAAGAGAAGGACGAGGGGGGAGATGATAGCAGTGTTTCAGTATCTCAGGGGCTGCCCCAAAGAAGAGGGAGTCAAGCTATTCTCCAAAGCGCCTGAAGGCAAGACAAAAAGCAAGGGATGGAAACTCATCAACCTAGAACTAAGGAGAAACCTCCTGACAGTGAGAACAATTAACCCGTGGAACAACCTGCCTCCAGAAGTGGTGAATGCTCCAACACTGGAGGTTTTTAAGAAGAAACTGGACAGCCATTTGTCTGAAATGGTATAGGGTTTCCTGCCTGAGCAGGGGGTTGGACTAGATGACCTCCAAGGTCCCTTCCAACTTTATTATTATTATTAATTATTATTATTATTAACTACAGAGCACGCTGGACAAAACCATTGTATCAGGAGGGAATCTTTCTCTGCAACCGGACGCTGCTTGTATGAAATTTAAAGCTTGAAGTGCAAATAAAAGCATAGGAAATGTTTCTTGTAGGGAATTACCCTTTTCCCAAACTGATCCTGTCCAAAATAACCCTGCCAGGAATCTTAAAAGTTCCTGTACCAGAGAGCATCGGATGGAGAAAGGCGACTTCGAAAGAGGAATAATATTTAAGGAAAACCACCACCATGGAGAGGATGATGGGGGCTATAGCCCCACGCAACGGAAGGATGCCAGAAAAGCAGAAACATTGATTGAATGTCGGGGTTTTACCTCCAGCAAGATTTCCAGGATCTGAAGCCTGGGATTTTGCCAGCTCCTGTTTCTGCAGTTCCTCTGTTTTTTGGGCCTCGGCTGCTGCAGCCGCAGCCAAAACCACCTTCTCCTCCTCCTCCTTCTTCTTTTTCTCTTCCAGGGCCAAACCAATTTCTTGCTGCATGTCGGAAAGGAGCTGGTGCATTTTGAGCAGGACGTGGTCAGCGGAAGCCACATCGGCCTCGGTGGGGAAAGCCTGCTTTTGTAAACAAAAGAACAAAAATCAGATATCAAATATAACACTTACACGGAAGCTCTGGGCATTTATCTGCCCGGTTTCTGGAGGGAAACCAGCTTGATCTGCCTTTCCAGATTACTCAACTGATCAAATGCAAATCTCCCTTTGGGTGCCGGCCTCAACTAAAGGTTTATGAATCGGCTCTCATACATTAGAATAGAATAGAGCTGGAAGGGGCCTTGGAGGTCTTCTAGTCCAGCCCCCTGCTCGAGCAGGAGAACCTATACCGTCTGAGACAGGTGATTGTCCAGTCTTTTCTTAAAAATCTCCAGTGATGGAGCGCCCACGATTTCTGGTGGCAAGCTGTTCCACTGGTTAATTGTCCTCACTGTTAGGAAGTTTCTCCTTAATTCCAGGTTGCTTCTCTCTTTGATCAGTTTTCCAACTATTGTTTCTTGTCTTCCCTTCTGGTGCCACCACGGCAATAGACAGATGATAGATGATGGATGGATGGATAGATGAGTGGAGGGATGAACGGATGGCAATTAGATAGATAGATAGATAGATAGATAGATAGATAGATAGATAGATAGATAGATAGACAGACAGACAGACAGACAGATAGCACTTAGACTTGTATACTGCTTCATAGTGCTTTACAGCCCCCTCTAAGGTTTAGAGTCAGCCTATTCCCCCCCCCCCAAATTTGGGTCCTCATTTTACCAACCTCAGAAGGATGGAAGGCTGAGTCAACCTTGAGCCCATTAGGATTGAACTGTTGGCAGTGGGCAGAGTAAGCCTGCAATATTGAATTCTAACCACTGTACCATCATGGCGATAGATAGATAGATAGATAGATAGATAGATAGATAGATAGATAGATAGATAGATAGATAGATAGATAGATAGATAGATAGATAGATACGTAGAGATAGATGGATGGATAGATAGATATAGATAGATGAGAGTGACGTATAGATAGGTAGGTAGGTAAATAGAGATGGAGGGAGGTTGATGTAGATAGATATAGATATATAAATGAAAGAATGATGTAGAGATAGATGATAGATAGATAGATATAGATATAAATATATAGAGATATAGAGATATAGAGATAGATAGATAGATAGATAGATAGATAGATAGATAGATAGATAGATAGATAGATAGATAGATAGGAGGTAGGTAGGTAAATAGAGATGGAGGGAGGTAGATAGATATAAATAGATGAGAGTGATGTAGATAGATATAGATGATAGATAGATAGATAGACAGACAGACAGACAGGATTAGATTAGATGATAGATAGGTAGGTAGGTACACAGACAGACAGAGACAGAGAGACAGACAGATTGATTACCTCGTTGGCCATGCGGACCAAGGCAGAGACCTCCCCGCAGAGCTGATTGCCCCGGTTGTTGAAGAGGGAGAAATCGATGGTGGGCAGCTCTTTCTGCCTGGCGCCCAGGCCGACTTGCTGGTGGATCTGCAGGACCTCCTCCTGGATGGCGTAGAGGCGGCGCAGGCGCTCCTGGCTCTCCTCCCGCCGCTGGCGCTCCAGGTTTTCCTGCCGCTGGCGCTGCTGCTCGGCCTCACGGAGCTTCCGGCTCAAAAGCTTCGGGAGGGAAGAAGGGAGTTTCCGTTTGGTAAAAGGGCGAGGCCGTCTCAAAAAGCTCGGGCACCGTCTCACCTACGCCCAGGTAATGTTAAGCTATGTTAAGGCAAAAGCTCATTGGACTGTGGGGTCCCTGGGGCTCTCTGAGACTTTCTTGCAGATGTTTCAGGACCCAACTAGGTAACATCATCAGTACTAGAAGGGAGTGGGGTTTGTGGAGAGGAGGAGGAGGAGGAGGAGGGAGGAGGAAAAGAAAGCGAAGAGGAAGAAAAGGAGGAGGAAGAGGAAGAAGAGGAGGGAGGGAGGAGGACCGTGGGGTCCTTGGTGCTCTCTGAGCTTGGCTTGTTTTCCTTGCAGACGTTTCATGACCCAACTAGGTAGCATCATCAGTGGTGGCTTACCCTGTCAACAAACAGCCCAACCAAAGAACCTCCAAGACCACTCACACCGACACTTGACAGGCACAGTGATGGCAAACCTTTTAGAGACAGAGTGCCCAAAGTGCAACCCAAAACCCACTTATGTATCATCGGGTGCCGGGTGGGCGTGGCCCATTGGTGGGCGTGGCTTTGGTGATAACAGCAGACTGGGTGGGACTAAAAAGTTCAATCAATCAATTCCAACTTTGCGAGATCTTCCCCCCTCCACGAGAAGTTGACATTGATTGATTGAACCTTTTTTTTTTTTTGCACACGGCGGCGGAGGCCTAAAGCGTAAAGCTTTTATAAGACCCAGCTGAAGGCCTGGGACTGGGGCGACGGTGCACGTGGCCACAGAGAGGGCTCTGCGTGCCACCTGTGGCACGCGTGCCACCACGGTACTAGAATATAAACTGAGAGCAACACCCACCCACCCCCAGCACTGATGAAGTTACCTAGTTGGGTAATGACACGTCTGCGAGGAAAACCACCAAGCTCAGAGACCACCGAGGACTCCTCATTTCAACCCTGAGCCTGCTGAAGAGATGGCATTTTATTTTATTTTCCTCTGGTGAGATTAAAAATGGCAGCAGAGCCTCCTTTTCACCCCTGACCCACAAGCATATAGTCCATTGTTGTCGCACTGTTCCACTACAAATACCCATCTCTTTACTCCTTAACCAGTGGAACCACCTGCCTCCAGAAGCGGTGAATGCTCCAACACTGGAAGTTTTTAAGAAGAGACTGGACAGCCATTTGTCTAAAATGGTATAGGGTTTCCTGCCTGAGCAGGGGGTTGGACTAGATGACCTCCAAGGTCCCTTCCAACTTTATCATTATTATTATTAGTTCTTCCTTCTTTTTCTTCCCTCTTTCTGCCTCTCTCTTTCCCCTTGCTTGTCTATAGCTTTAGAAGTGTAAAGAGAGAAGATACGGATAGTGTGACCGTCTTCAGGCCTGGAGAGAAAAGACCAGGCACCCTTAGAGCTGAAGAAGGGTGGAGATTGATTAGCTGCTAGACCAGTGTTTTTCAACCTTGGCAACTTTACGATGTGTGGACTTCAACTCCCAGAATTCTCCAGCTAGTGTTGCTAGCTGGAGAATTTTGGGAGTTGAAGTTCACACATCGTAAAGTTGCCAAGGTTGAGAAACACTGTGCTAGACCAGTGGTTCTCAACCTGTGGGTCGGGACCCCATTTGGGGTCGATCGACCATTTCACGGGGGTCGCCAAGCAAGCCTGTCCGCCATTTTTTTTGTCCGCCATTTTTTTTGTCCGCCATTTTTCCCCCTTTTCCGGCGGGTGCCTTACCTCCCTTGGGCTGGGCCAGCTGGTGGTCGGCCTGCTCCGTCTCTGCCGCTTGCCAGCTACGCCTCGGCCGGCGCAGGGGGCGGAACCACGCATGCACGGCGCTCCCGGGCAGGGAAAGTCCTCGACTTACGACCGGTTGGGTAGTCCTCGACTTATGACCGGTTTAGTCCTCGACTTACGGCCGGTTTAGTCCTCAACTTACGACCGGTTGGGGTCACGGCATTAAAAAGGTTGAGAACCACTGGGCTAGACCCTCTTTTTTCCTGCCTGGCTTGGTCCATTCCCCTGGCTACTTCCCTTACCTTGGCTCTGCGCCGATGTTCCTCCTTCAGTTTTTCCTGCTGGCCTTGAGCCTCTTTGGAGCTGGAATGAAAAACACAACACGCATTACACACACACACACACCCCCCGAGACCGCGATAAGCTCAGAGCCAATGAAGGCTCCATCGGTTTCTCCCACAGGAGAGGCTGCCGGGGGCTCACCTGTTCTCCATCTCTTGCTGAAGGTGCTGGTACTCCTGGTGTTGCTTCAGCTCCTTCAGCTCGTCGAAACGCTTCAGCAACTCGCTGGCCTCTTCGGTGGCGGCCTTCCCCGCCTGCTCCTGCTGCTCCAAGCGTTGCTTCAGCTGCTCCTGCGGGAAAACGGGAGGGAAAAACTACAGGATCCTGTTCTCACAGCATTTTCTTTCCTGTGCCTACTCGTTGGCTGCCGTTACCCAATCAGCGAGAAACAGAGAGGAAACGCTGAGGCTTAAGAGCCCTGCACCCAGGTTTTCTCTCCAGCCAAACTTTTATCGGTCATGGCGATAAAAGGACCAATCTTTAGACTACGTACAGAAACAGCAAAGAGCTCCAGAGGTCACCCGGAGAGAAATGTCTTGGGATTTTATAGCGCACGAGGCAGAGGCCAAAAGAGTGGGCCAAAAAACACGAGGCAGACTCAGAAGAAGATGGAGAGACAACATCAAAGGCATACGACGACAGCATCAAAGAACAATGGGTGAGACTGCCAGAAAGAGCCAGAGCTTTGTATCTCCCTCGAGGCCCGAAATGGTAGAAGAGGAAATAAAAAAGGAAAGGAGAAGGAGGAAGAGAAAGAGAAGATGAGAAGGAGGAGGAGGAGAGGAGGAGAAGGATGAGAAGAAGAAGAGCAGAAGGAAGATGAGAAGAAGAAGAAGGAAGAAGAAGAGCAGAAGGAGGATGAGAAGAAGAAGAAGAAGAAGAAATAGAAGAAGAAGAGGAGGAGGAGGAGGAGGAGAAGAAGAAGAGAAGAAGAGGAGGAGGAGAAGGAGGAGAAGAGGAGGAGGAGGAGGAGGAGGAGGAGGAGGAGAAGAAGAAGAAGAAGAAGAAGAAGAAGAAGAAGAAGAAGAAGAAGAAGAAGAAGAAGAAGAAGAAGAAGAAGAAGAAGAAGAAGAAGAAGAAGAAGAAGAAGAAGAAGAAGAGGAGGGAGGGAAAGAGGGGAGGAGGAGAAAGAAGAAAGAAAGAAGTAAGAAGAAGAAGAAGGAAGAAGAAAGTAGGAAGAAGATACCCAAACAACTTTGGGTATGCACCAATCTATAGAGGACCCTCTCAATTTGACTGACACCCCTCTGGGACCCCTAACCAGTCGCCAGCAGCGCAATTTCGGAAGGAAATCTGCCTCGTTCTTTCACTCAAGTGAAACGTCTTAGACCACACCTAATCCTAAATATTCCCGGTCATTTTCAAGACAACGGCCGTATAGTTAAATAAAGGTCTGCCCTCTCATCCAATCCCGCCAGCCGGGCCTTTGACTCTCACCTTTCCTTTCAGCTTCTGGATCTCCTTGTGCAAATGAATGAGGCCTTCGACTCCCGTACTTTTGGACGGGGGGGTCAGGGTGAGGGGCTCCTGGTTGCTCTCCGTGCTTCTCCATTTCTTCCGGGCCCGGGAGAAACAGAATAAGAGCGAGTGAGAGGTTGAACTCACAACTGGGCGCTATGAAAACACAGGATTGTTGAAGACAGGTGAACTCGAATGTCCTCTGATCTTTGTGGCCACCTTCTGGGGACAACAGCACGTCTGTATCAGTGGGACATGTCGGCATCGCTCAAAACCGAACCCAAAATTATAGGAACGAAGCGATAAAAGTTTTAAAACACAGAACATGAACATTTTAAGATGACACAGATAGTCCTCGACTTAACAAAGATTCATTTAGTGACCATAGTTACAACGGCACTGAAAAAAGTGACCTATGTCAGTTTTTCACACTTAGGACCATTGTGGCCTCCCCCGCGGTCACGTGATCCAAATTCAGACGCTCGGCAACGGACTCGTATTTATGACGGTCGCAGCGTCCCCTGGGGGTCCTGTGATCCCCTTTTTGTGACCTTCTTGCAAGCAAAGTCAACGGGGAAGCCGGATTCGTTTAACATCCGTGTTAACTTAACAACTGCAGCGATTCATTTAAACAACGGTGGTAGGAAAAGTCGTAAAACGGGGCAAAATTCACTTAACAAATGTTTCACTTAGCAACAAAAAAAATTGGGGGCTCACTTGTGGTAATAAGGAGAGATTTACCTGTACTTATAAGTAGTAGAAACTAGGATTATAACACACGGCATTAAAAATAAAATATGAGGAAAATAGTTATTTAATAATAGTTACACAATAGTTTTATATCTATCTATCTATCCATCCATCCATCCATCCATCTATCTATCTATCGATATATAGATTAGATTAGATATATAGATATATGTATATCTATCTATATCTATATGTACATATGTGTATCTATATCTCTATCTCTTCTATCTATATTTATCTATATTTATATCTATCTATGTATATCTATATATCTATATCTATGTATCTCTCTATATATCTATAGATACATAGATTAGATATATATGTATACCTATATATATCTATATGTGTATATATATGTGTATATCTATCTATATTTATATATCTATATATATCTATATATCTATATCGCTATATATCTCTATCTCTCTCTCTCTCTCTCTCTCTCTCTCTCTCTCTCTCTCTATATATATATATATATATATATATATATATATATATATATATATATATATAAACTATTATATATAAAGCATTACCTGGACGTCAGCTGGGGCTTCTATTAACGAGGGCAGGGGGCTGTCCTGATTGACAGGAGAGGCATCAATTAATGATAAACCATGGAAAAGGGACGCTCCTTCAGGAGTGGATTTTGCCAAGAGAGGAGCATCTGACTTTGGAGAATGGGAGATGATTTTTTCAAGCACCCAACCTGTACAACGAGACAACACCGGAGGGGCTTTATCCTCTTCCAAGATGCCCTGAAAAGAACAAAACGACATATGACATAGCAACGCATGCTATAAATCACGCCTCAATCCACACCCTCCTTTTACTGCCCGCCAGGAGGTGAAGCCCTTCAAGATGGTAGAAAGGAAGGGAGACGATCTTGATGGGAGAACATTTAAATTTGTTTCCAAGGAGAAAACGGCCCAAACAATAAACAGAATAAGAGGCCGGAAGAGGCTCAAAGCGACGCCTTCCTGATTTACATTCCCAGGAAGGCCATTTTATTTACTAATGATAAATAATTTAAGTGAATAAATAAATACATCTTGCTAAATGCTGTTTAGCATTTCAGTACGAGGAATTTTAGCCGTTCTGGTGGGCTGGAAGGGTTGGTTTTACCCAATCTAAATGAAAAAGAGCCACCTCTGCGAAACCTAGTTAATTCTAATTAAAAAAAAAAACAACTACAGGAAGACAGATAATCCTCGACATACGACATTTAGCTGTTCATTTAGTGGCTGTTCAAAGCTACAACGGCATTGAAAAAAGCGACCCATTTTCACACTTATGACCGTTGCAGCATCCCTGATCAAAATTCAGATGCTTGACAATTGATTCGTATTTAAGACGGTCAGTGTCCCGGAGTCACGTGATCCCCTTTTGCGAGCTTCTGACAAGCCAAGTCAATGGGGAAAAGGGATTCACTTAACAATTGTGTTACCCAATTAACAACCGCGGCGATTCCCTTAACCCACTGTGGCAAGAAAAGTCGCAAAACGGGGGACAAATGATTCACTTAACGACATAAACGTTAGGCTCAATTGTGGTCATACGTTGAGGACGACCATTTAATTTTTTTATATAATTCATATTTATTTATAGAAATATACATTATATTATATACCTGCCTGAGCAGGGGGTTGGACTTTATGACCTCCAAGGTCCCTTCCAACTTTATTATTATTATTATACACATAATTTCATTATATAATAATATTATTTATTAAATTTGTAGGGAGCCTGCCTGACTCCCAGCAACTCTGGGAAGAAAGAACTGACACTAAATTGAGGGCGGGGGCTGCAAGGAACCCCCCCCACCTCCTTTTTGCAATGAAAAGGTTGACCACTCTGCTGGACCACCCTGCCCATCATCCCCAGCTAGGACACCAGCAGCATCCCTCCCCGCGGCGAGGGGGTTTCGAAGCCGGCCATACCGGCTTCCCCCCCCACCCCGAAGACGTTGGTGGGGATGAGGAATCACAACTCCCATCACGCTTTCCGCCCTGCAGGGTGGAGACCGATGGGAGTTGTAGTCCCCCCAGCCCGTGGATGGGATGGGATGGGACGGGAGGAAGAGAGAGAGGGGCCAGGCCGCGGCGCACCTCCTCGAGCGGGCTCCAGTCGCGGCAGTAGCGCAGCCGCCCTTTGCGGGTGTTCCGCAGGGCCTCCACGGTCTGCAGCCGAAATTGCTCGGACGGCATGGCGGCAAAAGAAAACGGCCGCCGCCACCGCCGCTGAACAACGCAGGGCCCGCCCCGCGTCGCACCACTTCCGGTTCCGGTGAGGGTGGGGGAACGGGAAGCCGCGAGGCTTTTTAAAAAAGCGCCATAGAGCTACGACTCTCACTTCCGCTGGGAGGAATATAGATTCGCCAACGGATAGAGGGACCCTCGCACTGACAATTCCGGGTCTCTTCGATGGAGATTCTCAACCATCCAAGTCATAGTTGTGCCAAAGATGCTTTTTCTTTTTTTCTTTCTTTCCTTCCTTCTTATTTTTCTTCCTTCCTTCCTTTTCTTTCTTTCTTTCTCTTTGTCCCTTCCTTCCTTTCCTTTTTTTTCTCTTTTTCTTTTTTCCTTCCTTTTTTTCTTCCTTCCTTCCTTCCTTTTCTTTCTTTCTTTTTCTCTTTGTCCCTTCCTTCCTTTTTTCTTTCTCTTTTTTCCTTTCTTTTCTTCTTTTTCTTCCTTCCTTCTTTTTTTCTTTCTCACTTTCTTTTTCCCTTCATCCCTTCCTTTCTTCTCTTTCCTTTCTTCCTTCCTTTCTTTTTCTTTCTCACTCTTTCTTTCTCACTTTCTCTCTTTCTTTCTCTCTTTCTTTCTCTTTCTTTCTTTCTTTCTTTCTTTCTTTCTTTTTTCTTTCTTTCTTTCTCCAAAAGGCAACTGGACTTTCTTGTTTTTTCTTTGGAAACATTTTGCTTCTCATCCAAGATTCATTTTGGTTGTTTTTTTTTTTTTCTCTTGAAAATGTCTCATTTCTCATCCAAGAAACTTCGTGTAATTCCTTCCGGTCCCCCACCAGTCGGTTAGAACTGAAGCTTCTTGGATGAGAAGCGAAACGTTTTCAAAGAAAAAAAACAACAAGATAGTCCAGTTTCTATTTGGGAAAAAAAAAATCAATTCTGGGTCTCGCGCTGAGAATTCCAGCTCTCTTGTCCAAAAACTATTTCCAATCTGATTTCTCTTTAGGGATCTTTGAGCCACCTTCCCATGTGCCTGGGATCAACTTGGCCCTAAGATTCCATTTCATGGAGAAACATCCACCTAAGAGTTGACACTGGCTCCCATCATCCTTGAGCAGGATTCGTTTTGAAGTGAATCGAGAGGAAATGGATACCTAAGGGTGACTTTTGAGCCCTGGAAATGAGGTCATAATTGGACCCAAATGTGTTGGATTTGTGAATTGGATTAAGTGTGGCTAGGAAGAGGACTGCTCTTTAGAAGGCCAGATCCTGAAGTTGAAACTCAAGTACTTTGGTCACCTAATGAGAAGGAAGGACTCACTGGAGAAGAGCCTGATGCTGGGAAAGATGGAGGGCAATAGAAGAAGGGGACGACAGAGAATGAGGTGGCTGGATGGAGTCACTGAAGCAGGAGGCGTGAGCTTCAATGGACTCCAGATGATAGAGGACAGGAAGGCCTGGAGGAACGTTGTCCATGGGGTTGTGATAGGTCGGACACGAATTCGCAACTAACAACAACAACAATAAGGAAGAGGATCCATCTATCAAGGAGACAAAAGGATCTTCTTCCTAGCCACACTTAATCCAATTCACATTATTCAGAAAAGTGCACCAGAAAAGGTGTATTTCTAATGGAAAATTCAGAAGCTCAGCCCAGACAGCCTAACATTAGGTTGTCTTTTGTGCAAAGGATTTTTTCTAAAAAAAATAAAATAAAATAAAAATAAAAGCACACCCACAAATAAAAATTAGAAACTAAGATATTTCAAGAGAGAAAAAAAAAGCTTTGTCATAGTATCTTTTCACATTTTAAAAAAAGTCACACGTTTAATATGAATCTTTTAAAACTTTTCAAGGCAATGTTATGGTCTCACACATAAATATTAAAAATCAGCGTTGCCTCCGTTGGTTGATTCCTTGCACCCTCCCCCCACACACAACAAAGAACAAAATGTGATCAAAGCATAAAACATGGTGGAAACACCATGTTTTACATTCTGCAAAGCAAGTGAGTTTCTCTAATGTAATCAAGGAAAAAGTGAAACCTGCTCCAGAATTGAAATTTCCTGGTTAATAGAGTAAAATTTAAGATATTATCCTGAACATTTGCAATTTCACCCGCCCACTCAATTGGAGAAAAACTGATCAGAGTGATATTTAACCAAGAGAATAATCATTGCTTTAGATGAAAGAAAATGTACTAAATGCAGAACCTAGCCATTCCTACAAAATAAATCAAAATAAAAGTTAAGAATTGTGCCATAAAAACAGGATATCTTACATACACACACATATATATTCTCTCGTAACTGTGGTTCCACATGCGCAGTGATAGTATCACTCGTATGAAATAGCATTGGGTTAAAAAAAATTATTTTATCACACAACACGCAGACCTACACACACCTGGTTCCAGGAAGAAAACCACACACAATTGCTAACAACTTGACAAATAAACAATCCCACTTGGTTTCGCACATGATCTTTGAAACCGCAGGGATCGTCGAATAAAGCAATTCCCAAACATTAATACAAAACTTTGGAAAAGATTTTTTTTTAAAAAAGTTGATTAAAAACCATGCAGGGTTACTGCAAAATGACGTAAGCTGGGTTAAGGCACTAGAAGTCTTGGCAACGCTTGGGGGGGGGGAACAGGCTTGCCCCCTCCTCTGCAAGGCACCTCCCTTTTTCCAACAGTAGGAAGTAGATTCTGAGAGACATAGTTCCAGAATCAGATTATGGCTTGGTAGCTGGTTAGGTGCCTCCTCCCTCCGTCTTGAGCCCGGGGCGGAGAGCACCAAGGAATGGCTACAGAGGAGACCGGGGACGAATGGGGGAACTGGACAAGATGCTGTCTCCGAAGACGTTGGCGTACGAAGACTTGAGGAACTGCACGTAGTTCTGCATGCTGCGGTTGGTGCTTTCCGACTGTTCTAGCCGATCTTTCAGGTCCTGCAGGCGGCTTTGAAACCGGCGCTCGGCCTGTGTGGGAAAAGAAAGGGTGGTGAGCCTCGACGTCCTTTTCCTTCCCCAAGGAGGCAAAACGCCCGTTCAAAAATGGAGTGGCCAAAGGCATTCCTGTGCCTTTTGCTTTTTTTTCCCCCCAGACAAAAAGAATTCCCTGAGAATTCACCTTGGGATGGATGGACTAGGGCGGGGGTCTTCAAACGTGGCCCCTTCATGACTGGTGGACTTCAACTCCCAGAATTCCTCAGCCAGCAAGGGGGAACTATGGCCCCTTCATGACTTGCGGACTTCAACTCCCAGAATTCCTGAGCCAGCAGGGGGGAACTATGGCCCCTTCATGACTTGCGGACTTCAACTCCCAGAATTCCTGAGCCAGCAGGGGAGAACTATGGCCGCTTCATGACTTGTGGACTAACTCCCAGAATTCCTCAGCCAGCAGGGGGGAACTATGGCCCCTCCATGACTTGTGGACTTCAACTCCCAGAATTCCTGAGCCAGCAGGGGAGAACTATGGCCGCTTCATGACTTGTGGACTAACTCCCAGAATTCCTCAGCCAGCAGGGGGGAATTATGGCCCCTTCATGACTTACGGACTTCAAATCCCAGAATTCCTGAGCCAGCAGGGGGGAACTATGGCCCCTTCATGACTTGCAGACTTCAACTCCCAGAATTCCTCAGCCAGCATGGAGAGAACTATGGCCCCTTCATGACTTGTGGACTTCAACTCCCAGAATTCCTCAGCCAGCGTGCCTGGCTGAGGAATTCTGGGAGTTGAAGTCCACAAGTCATTAAAGGGCCAAGTTTGAAGACCCCTGGCATATACTCTTTGCTTTGTGGTTCTAAGTAGTTTCCTGTTACAGTAAAATTGTTGAGCAGTAAAGTACATGGTGACTGTACTTTGTTTGCTCTGTGATGCGATATATAAACAGAATTTCTAACACAAGCAAACCCATTGGTCAAAAAATTAGAACTTGTACATGCCCAGCGGAGGCCACCACTGAATCTGTATGTCTTCACCGTGTAGAAACAGCCAGGCTAGGCTTTCTAACATGGAGGACGTCTAATGTGGGCTACTTACATCATCTTTACCGCGTCGTAGCTGATTCAGCTCTGTCTTTGTCTTGCTCAGCTGAGTTTCCAAGTCCAGCATCTTTGACTGGGCGGTCCTCTCTCTTACTGCCGCACGATCCCTTGTTTGCTCCAACTAAAGGCAGAAGGAGAGTAATCAGGATCAGCAAGGACAAATCCATCTCCACTACTTTCTATCCCAGAAAAAAGGGCAGCACAGTCCCTTTCCGTCTTCAAATGAGGATCCTTGCTTAATTATGATCAATCTTAAGAGTTGTTGGCTTTCTCTCAAAAGCCAACATTACCATCAAAGGGTGTTGGAAGAATCAAGGAAGAATTTTCTGGAAGGAAGATGGGATGGAGTTATCACCACAATCTTCTTATTACAACTTCTACAATCAGCTCTTCAGTGACTTGGAAGATCCAGCTATCCTACTCAACACCCAAGGAGGGACCAACCTGCTTCTTGGCGTCATCAATGGCCATCTCCAGCTGGCGTGCCAAGGACCCACACTCCCTGGTCTTCTCCTCCAACCGGAGCTGAGCCTGGTGGATGGACTCTTCCCTTTTGGCAATGATCTGGAGAAATTCTACGTTCTGCCCACTTGTCGCTTCAAGTTTCCTAAAGTGCAACCACAGGTGATTTATGGGTAGCTGTGGCTCCAACGTATCATTAGTAGAGGATCGATACTTTTTCTTTTCTGACCAAGGCTCTCCAAACTTGGCAAGCTTTTAAGATTGGTGGACTTCAACTCAACAACAAGCACGCTGGCTGGGGAATTCTGGGAGTTGAAGTCCACAAGTCTTAAAAGTTGCCACCTCGGGAGACTCCCGGATTAAACCAAAGAGATGGTCTTGATGGATCACGAGGATTTTTTTGATCCCAGTAATTAAATGACTGAAGGTATCAAACGCTGTTAGAGAAGCACGTTTCTCAAGAACGTAGAATTTTCAAAGAAACGCCAGTTAAACCAACGTAATGTCTTCCTCCACCCTCGAGTATCACCCCACACTTCCTAACCTCTCCATCTCCTCCAACTTGAGAGTCAGCTGCTTATTCTCTTCCTGGGCTGACTGATATTTTTCCCTCGTCAATTCCATCTTGTCCCCCTGAAGCTCAATCTAAAAAGGAAGGATTGAAAAGAAAAAGGGGGAAAGAAAAAAGACAACACGGAGAATTAAGGATACGGACGCTGCTCTTTTGCTATATTGAAGCCAGCTTGCTTTGGAAACAGAAAGTGGTCAAGGCGATGAAACCGACTCGAGTGCAAAGACGTAGGAAAAGAGAGTAGCTTTGGCAGAAATATAGCGAATGAGAGTTGAGCGCCAGGATCCGTTTCAGCAGCTTTTGATCAAAGATAAAACTTTATCCCAGCATTAAACAACCACAGATAGCGTCACCAGCTTCTTTGAATAGTGGTGGCTATCTGAAGGATTACAAAACAGGAATATATATAAACTCCTTTGTACGACCCCACAATCCCTTAATTCGGGATAAAGTCGGGGCGACTGGATGGAGCTGAGCATTTACTTGACGGATGCCCTTCCTGATGCCTATGCGAAGTTCAGAGCAGATATTTTTTCTTTGCGCCCTAGGAGAGAGAAATATCTGCCGCTATCTAGGATTGAACTCTCAACCTTCCGAGTTGGAGGCGAGCGTCTTCACCCCTCCACCCTTTTAACCCCTCCACCCTTTTGGTGGCCTTTTCAGACACTAGTTTGAAGGCTTCTCCTCGCCACGGCCCCGGGGATCCGTCAGCTACCTGCAAGCAAAGCGAAGCACACAGATTGAGGCATTCTGACAATCAGCCGAGGAAGACAAACAAGAGACCAACAGAGGGATGATAGCCCGGAGAGCCAATTCAACACAAGCTTAAAAGGAGACAGCACACAAATGAAACACAGGCATGCCATTGGGTCAGTTTATTCTGCCGTGCAGCTGTTTTAATCATTTCAAAAAGAGACAAGAGACAAAGATTGCACCTTCCTGATGCTTAGAAGCTCATTTTGGTCCCCGGCTGGAGGTTCGCGTGGGCGCCTTCTGCCAATCCCTTACCCGCTGACGGAGGTCTGTAATCATGGCAGACAGATCCATATTTTTCTTCTCATAACTCTTAAGCTGCTCCTGACACTCAGCCAGCTTGGTCTCGGTGATCTTTAAGATCTCAGGAAGTTTCTCCAGCTCGGCAACTTGGCTCTGGAACTGCTTGCGAGCCTGTGGGCACAAGGAAGATGGAGAGATTGAAGACAGGTCCCTTCCGGAGATCATCAAACTCTCAGCCCTCTGGATGTTGGGGGACCCCACTTCTAACTCCACTGTCTTCTGGAGGACCATCTCTGATCTAGCACATTAACTACACCAGGGATCCTCAACCTTTTGGGCACCAGGGACCAGTTCCGTGGAGAAAGGTTTTCTCATGGACCGGAGAGTGCGTAGTTTTGTGTGCTGCCTGCATCCCACGAATGGGGCTTTGCTTGTTTGTGTGGACCAGTTGCTGGCATGCCGCGGACCGGGACCGGTCCACGGACCGGGGATTGGGGACCCCTGAACTACACAACATGCTAACTGTCCGTGGCTACGTCCAGCCCAGAATGATGGGAAGGAGGCTAAAATGAATTTGAGAAGCCAGCCATTCAGAGACGGGATGGACCATTTTCTGCACGAGTTGAGTACCGCAATGCAAATTGTTATTTGTCGTTTTGCTTTTTTTTTTTTTAAATAAAGTAGCAATTAGAAGAACAACTGCCAGCACCTCTAATTCAGGCACACGCAGAAAAAAAATCCCTTCAAAAGAGCAAACCGCAACGCAACACAACGCCGGCTCTTCCCGTTCCGTTCTTTACAAAAAGGAGAGCTTCGAGACAAGAAAGAGACACTTGCATTTTCAATCTCCTTCGCCATTTCTTCCTTCAGGGCTTTGTTCTCCTTGTCACAGAGCTCCAATTTCACTGTCACCTCATCGGCTTCCATTCGGGTTTTCACCACCTGGGTAAAAGAAACAGAAGTTAAAAACAAAAGTCAACGTGAAATACAGGATAAATCTGGTCAAGGCTAACACTTGCTTATCTCAGCATCCATTGGGGTTAAGGGAGTCAACCTGGAGCCCTCTAGGTGTATCCAACTGTAAATCCCATTAATTCACGTCACAGGAGTGTGGGGACAGGCAGGATGATGGGCATGGCAGTCCAGCATTTCCAGAACTACGATAACGGCTTAGTCTTTTCTTAACCATGGACCCTCCCCCTTAAATACTTTTTGTGGCCACGGACCACCAAGACTTAAAGCGTAACATTTCTTCAAGCCTTTGCGGGACCTCCTGTGATGACATGGCAGGCTCCCCAGGGATTCGTGGACCACAGGTTGAGAACCATGGGCTTAGCTTTTAGGTCATTCCATCCACCCTCTACATCCAAATCATGGAAATCCTTGGAGATGCCAGAATGAAACTAGGACCTCAGAGTCTTTCTCTATATTCTGACCTATGGGGTTCCTACACTTCGGCTTCCCCAGCCACTGGAAACTCTTCTCTATTTGAGGCTTGGCAGGGCAGAATGAAACCATCTTAAAAAAAACCCCAAAGAGCATCTATTTCTTGAACCAGAAAACAATGGGCCGGTTTCGTTTCATCACCCAAGCAGGTTCTAAGTGGATACGGACTCTCAACAAACGTCCAGAACGAAATAGCATCACGCAGAATGCAAGAAAACCTGAATAATAGACAGAGCTCAGTTCTGTCCCAGGCCCAGATGGACAAGACCCGAGAACCTCTGGAGGAGGAAACAGGTTGTTAAAAAGAGGTGAGGTCCTCTACCTGATTCTTGTAGGTTTCAATCAGGCCTTCGTAGTTCTTGAGGGAAGCCTTCAATTTCGACACTTCCTGTTGAGCCTGGTTCAGCCGCTCCTCCACTGGAATCATGCTGGTCTGCAGGAGCCACAAAATAACTTGGGTTTACTCAGGATAGAGGATTCTCTAACTGGGTTCACTCAGGATAGATAGGGGAGTCTCTTGCTATCAAGGGTCCCGCACGTTTCAGCGGCTAAGTAAGCCAGGATCTGCTTTAGTCAATTTCAGTGTCAATCCTAAAAAGCAGACACGGTACATTTAATAGCAATAGCCCTTGGATTTATATACCGCTTCACAGTGCTTTACCAGCCCTCTCTAAGTGGTTTACAGAGTCAACATATTGGCCCCCAACCATCTTGGTCCTCATTTTACCAATCTTGGAAGAATGGAAGGCTAAGTCAACCTTGAACCGGTCAGGATCGAACTGCTGGCAGTGGGCAGAATTAACCTGCAATACTGGATTCTAACTACTGCGCCACTATGGCTCTTAGATATGGGTGGGTGGGTGGGTGGGTGGGTGGATGGATGGATGGATGGATGGATGGATGGATAGATGATAGATAGATAGATAGATAGATAGATAGATAGATAGATAGATAGACAGACAGACAGATATAGATGGATGGATGGATGGATGGATGGATGGATGGATGGATGGATGGATGATAGATAGATAGATAGATAGATAGATAGATAGATAGATAGATAGATAGATAGATAGCAATGACACTTGGACTTCACAGTGCTTTACAGCCCTCTCTAAGCGGTTTACAGAGTCAGTATGTTGCCCCCAACCATCTGGGTCCTCATTTTACCGCCCTCGGAAGGATGGAAAGCTTGAACTGGTCAGGATCAAACTGCTGGCAGTGGGCAGAATTAGCCTGCAGTACTGCATTCTAACCACCGCACTACCATGGCAATGTCTGGCTTGTTTTTAACATGACTTCTGTCAGCTCCTCGTAGAAACAATTCCGAGTTGCAAACCAGTCTTAGGGTTAGAAATAAATAAGGAGATTCTCTCATTCGAGTAAACTGTGAATAGTCCTTGACTGGCCACCGTGAAATTAAAATAGATTAGGAACAGGTCCTTATGGAGACAACTTGTGTCTGGTCAGTAAGAGTCGATGCCTTGGTGATGACCCGCGACCAAGCAATCAACGTCCAGTTCTGCTCTTGCCTTAATTCTTCACCACTCACCTTCAGCCTCTCGTTCTCCAATTTGACAGCGGTGCTCTCGGTGACCTGCTTGTGGAGTTTATCCACCAAGGCATCTCGGTCTTCGCGCATTTTGTCTTCCATGGCGTTCTGCTGTTCCAGCAGTTCAGAAATTCGGCTGCCGAGCAAGCAAGGAGAATCAACCGTTACCGACGGGGGTAAGCAAGCAGCGGCCTCGCCTCAACGCAGAATTTCACAACGCGTGGAACGCTGCCTGCTTCCCACCGTTCGGAGCGACAATGTGATTGAACCCGTCTTTCGTTCTGCTACCTCTTACTATTCGTAAGATTTAAGACCTGCTTTTCTGGCTAAAAAAAAACAAAACAGTAACTGCAAGAGTGGATTATCATTCAGATTCAATCATTCAATCCCAGCGTTCTCGATTCGTACATCATCAAAACAACGAAGATGTGAGCTGCAGACAAAACGCTAACTAAAAGCACAATATTTTAGTTGTTAAGTCCGTAGCTGCTTTAGTAACGGATTCAACTTGAGCTGAATTGCAACTAAATATAGCCTCGGGTTGAGATCATTGGCACCCATCCAAAGAGGTCCTTCTCAAGAGGTCCTTCTCAAGTGGTTGAGGCTACCACTGAAAAGGCCCCGTCCTTCCCAACCACAAGCCCTCACAGCCAGAGAGACCAATTTAATTTGCTGAAATTAACACATGGTGGTGATCAGGCTGAGATGTTACCTCTGGGCTTGTAAGGTACTGCAAGAGCCTGTTTCTCTGCCACATCCCTTGCAGCTCTCACCTGTTCAGCATCACAATCTCCACCTCCAGGTCACTTTTGTCTTTCACAACTTGGTTGTAACGATTCCGCCAGGATTCTAGGGTGGACAGCGCTTCGGCCACGTAGGCGTCCTACCAAGTAAGTCGAGACACAGGGAAAGACAAGGCTGAGCTTAAGAGTCAGCTGCGGCTACGCTAATCCACCATTAATCTAAGACGGGGAAATTATACAGGGGGAGGAAGAGAGAGGTATTGGAAGGAAGAAGATGGAAGGCAGAGAACTCATAAAAGAAGGCCAACTGCTGTTCAGATACCTTCGATTAGATACCTTCAAGGTATCTTCAGATACCTTCAAAGTGTCTTCAGAAAACCTTCAAAGTATCTTCAGATACCTTCAATGTATCTTTAGATACCTTCAAGGTATCATTAGGTAGCTTCAAGATATCATTAGATAGCTTCAAGATATCTTCAGATACCTTCAAAATATCTTCAGATACCTTCAAAGTATCTTCAGATACCTTCAAAGTATCTTTAGATACCTTCAAGATATCTTCGGAGACCTTCAAGCCTCTTAAATACTATTTGACTACCAGACCATCTTCTTCAGGCAACTGAAGAAGCCCTTTTTCAGAAGAAATGGGGCAACGTTGACACCCCAAACCTTTCTCCTTCTCCCTACTCCGAATCACCTCTCTCAATAAATGCCCCCTTTTTCAGATGGCTTCAGGAGGTCCTTTCCCAGCTGGGGCCCAAGGAAAGGCTGTCACCTTTTCAGCTAACTGGACGTTCAGTTGATCGGCAAACTCCTCAGCCCGTTCTGCGCGTTCCTTCTGCGCCTTGATGGCTTTCTTCAGGGCGTCCTTGTCCCGATCTCCTTTGGCCTTCAGCTCCTTCAACTGTTCCATGATGTTCTCCACTTCGGCCTTGTGCTGAGCTGCTACCCGCTCCAGATTCTGGAGGGAGGGAGGGAAGGCAGGCAGGCAATCAGGATGCCCCAAAGGGAGAGTTAGTGCTTCAGGTCCTCAAAGCAGAAACTCAAGAGGTTGCCTCATAATTGTTTTTTTAACCGGCTGATCAATGTTTAGACAAAGCAGACACAACTACAAAGCCAACAATGTTGTTTGTGGTTGTGACTGCTCCAGAACTTAATAGCAAGAAACTTTTTTTCCCCCTGCAGAGTTAGGCCTGTCTAGCAAACAGGCTTTGAGAATCACAGCAGACACAGTTCCCAATAACAAGAGAGGTCAAATATTATGTCAAAGTTAAAATCTCTTCCCCACGGGTCAAGCCAGCCAGAGTTAACAAGCCAGAGAGAAGCTCAGCCTATCTTTGTCTTCAAATAAACAACTGGAGAAGCACTTAAAATCTACTCTACGGAAAGAGTGCCCAACATTGGCAACTTTAAGACTCGTGGACTTCAACTCCCCCGAATTCCCAACCCACCCTCTCAGAATTCTGGGAGTTGAAGTCCACAAGTCTTAACGTTGCCAAGGCAGGACACCCCTGCTCTATAGCTTGGAAAGGGGTCTCCATGACTTGCTACCTGGGTATGACCAGGTCCCCCCTCTCTCCAAAGGACAAGGCACTGTACCCGGATCTGGATACCCAGGCGGTGATTCTCGGCTTCCTTATTCCGCAGTTGTGCTTGTAAGTGACCCCGCACAGCTTCCATTGACTTCGACAGTTCGGCGGCCGTCTTGGCTTGGTCCTAGAAGGCAAAAAACGAAAGGTGGAACACAAAAACACAACAGTTAAAAAGTCTCCAAGTGTCCACTCCATGACATACACAAGCACCCTCCTTTGCATGGCTTATCCCCTCTTTATAACACCCCACAGGGAGAACGTACCTTTTCGGTCTGTATCTGAATCAATAAATCATCCACTTCCTTCTCTTTATCCTGTAGTTTCTTGACCAATTGCTGCAAGAAACGTAAGAGGTAAAATTGCAGGTGTGATGAAACAGAATATCTCAGACAATGATACCGGGGGGGGGGGACTCAGAAAGTGGAGCCATCAATGTTCAAAACGACAGGTCGTTTTTGCTCTGTGAGAAAGCAGCTATTGAGAATTCCTTGCAAAAGGAGACTGAAAAACCTACACATTTTAAGATTATTTTGATCAGGTCAGGTATGGAAGGGGATTTTCCTGGGCCCAGAGCACCACCTGCCATTCCCAATTTAAAATAATAAAAAAATATAAAGTTCTAACTGAAGTGTTATCGATAACGCTGGCAAGAAAACTCAACGTTTGAGTAATGTAACAGAAAAAACAGAGTCGGAAGAGACCTTGGAGGTCTTCTAGTCCAACCCCTGCTCTGGCAGAAGACCCTATGCCACTTCAGACAAATGGTTGTCCAATCTCTTCTTAAGAATCTTCAGTGTTGGAGCACCCACAACGTCTGGAGGCAGGTTGTTCCACTGGTTAATTGTCCTCACTGTTAGGAAGTTTCTCCTTAGTTCTAGGTTGCTTCTCTCCTTAATTTCCACCCATTGCTTCTTGTCCTGCCCTCAGTTGCTTTGGAGAATAGCTTGACTCCCTCTTCTTTGGGACAGCCCCTGAGATATTGGAATGCTGCTATCATGTCCCCCCTCGTCCTTCTCTTCATTAAACTGGACATACCCAGTTCCAGCAACCGTTCCTTGTATGTTTTAGCCTCCAGTCCCCTGATCATCTTTGTTGCTCTTCTCTGTACTCTTTCTAGAGTCTCAACATCTTTTTTACATCATGGTGACCAAAACTGGATGCAGGATTCCAAATGTGGCCTTAACAAGGCATTATAAAGCAGTATTAACACTTCATGTAATCTTGATTCTATATGTATATCTTTCTTTCTTTCTTTCTTTCTTTTCTTTCTTTTTCTTTCTTTCCTTCCTTCCTTCCTTCCTTCCTTCCTTCCTTCCTTCCTTCCTCCCTCCCTCCCTCCCTCCCTCCCTACCTCCCTTGTTTCTGTCTCTCTCTCTATATGTATATATAATAAATATACTATATATTTACCGCCTTCTCTGTATCGGAGTCAGTTAGCCGCTTCATCAGGGTAGCTTGCTGTTCTGTCAACTTTTGTGAATCTTTCTGTAGACAAGAGGAAAAAAAACCCGGCAAGAAATAAGTTGTGGAAATAAGTGGGAAAGATGCACAGATTAAGGAACGGCAGCTCCTCCTTTTAGACCTTCAATTTCGGAGAGGTTTTTACGTGGCTCCCGGAAAACTTTTATTAGACTCCTATTTTAGGGCCACCGATGCCTCTCAGCCGCGCAAATCCTTGCAAGGAAGAAGTACAAGTTGCTGGCACCAAAACCTGGCACCAAAACGTTCCACTGTAAACTAATTAACACCAGCCTGAATGCTCCTTGTGTCAGAGTTTGCCACACTTCTGGGTTCTGTATTGGAGGGGAGGGGGGAGGAATAAATGCTGCTAATGCCTTGGAAGGTGGGACCCCATAGATGTCCTGGGGGACTTTGAAAAGAATTTGCAGGATCGGATCAGGTTAGCGCCGTATTTCCCCCCCAAATAAGACCGGATCTTGTATTAATTTTTGCTCCAAAAGGGCTCCATAAGGGCAGACATGTCAAACACAAGGCCCAGGGGCCGGATGCGGCCCGCGAAGTGGTTTCATGTGGCCCGCGAAGCCATCCTGGAAACAGTGAGGGAACGGCCCCCTCTGCCTTGGCCCTGGCCCAGACTGGCTGGCCGGGAGCCAATGTACAATTTTGTGCTGGCCATTTATGCTGAAACGCATTCAGTCTCCCTCTGACTTTGCCCTGGTACCCATCATGAGCAACCTGGCTAAGGAGAGCAAGCACAGCAGCAGCAGCAGCCTTGAGGTCGAGGTAAGTGCAGCTGGGCACCCCCTTGGGGAAGTGGGGCTGGGCTTGGTGCCACGGGTGCTCCAGGGCCAGGCTGGGCATTAGATCTCTGCTGCCCATGGCTCCGGGCAGCCCGCACCACCATCCAGCTGCCCCCTCCACATGGCCTGAGAGGAACAGTGAGGCTCCTCCAGTGGACCATGCCTTGGCACTTGCCCCGGTCCCACCCCCTTCTGCCAGAGACCCTCAGATCTGTCCCACTCCTGCCCAGGCCCCCACAGGCACCCTTGATGCAAACAAGGTAGAGCTGGCCACACCCACTCAGTAGGCCACACCTAGTCCATCCACACCCACCCAGTAGGCCGCACCCACCCTGGCCACCCCCCCCGAGGGCAACCGCAATGCTGATGTGGCCCTCAATGAAATTGAGTTTGACACCCCTGCATTAGGACTTCTTTTCCAGCTAGGTCTTATTTTCAGGGAAATACGGTACTGAATGAGTCCATCTGGCTCTTAACTGGGTCTTATTTTTGGGGTAGGGCTTATATTATGAGCATCCTAAAAAATCACGCCAGGGCTTCTTTTTCAGTTGGGTCTTATTTTCAGGGAAATACGGTACTAAATGGGTGTCAACGCTGCAAATACTGTATATTCTTGCTTTTTATAGTTAAACCAGGCAACAGGGAAAAAGGGAGGAGAATGAGGATAGCCCGGGAAAAAGAAACCGGAAGTAAATCACATCTTCCAAGTTGATTGGAAGATGTGAACCATGACCCCAAAATAAGGGAGTGGGAAATGCTTGGAATGTTATGCGTAACGGAAGAGAAGCCAGACCTAAGCATTTCCACCATGCTGTACTGACGTCTCTGTAACCTTAATAAATGCTTTTAGGAGAAAATATGCCTGAAAGTCCTTTTAAGTGTTTCGTTAATCAGACACATGACAACGGGTCCATCTGGCTGAGGATCTTAACTGGCACTTATTTTTGGGGTAGGGCTTATAGTACGAGCATCCTGAAAAATCACGCTAGGGCTTATTTTGGGGGGAGGGGGGGGGAAACAGGACATTCACCAGAATGCTGAGCCCGACATTTGGATCAGAAATGCTGATTTTTTTTTTCTTCTAAAAACAAGAGGCTGGGCCTGGCTTGGGGTCAAGTAATTGCCGGACCAGAATCTTCTCCAGCTTCGCTCACCTCCCGGCTGTGTTGCTCTCTGAGCAAATCGCGAAGAGTCCGGTTGGTGTCTTCGAAAGTGCTCAGCTTCTGCAGCAACAACTCCTTCTGCCTAGTCAGGGTGCTGATGTCCGAAACGGTCATATTTTTCTCCTGCAGTTGGGGGGGAGGTCGGGTTTCGGAAGAGACCACGGGAAAAGAGAAAGAGAAAAAAAACCCACCTTAAAAATTTCTTTATTGGATAGCACGAACAAACAGCCCACTTCGAAGGGACGTTTCTCCCGATTCACAGCCTCGACTTACAGCGATTCGTTCAGCGACTGCTCAAAGCTACAGCAGCCTTGAAACAAAGCGACTAAAAGGGCCAGTTCCGGCACTTATCAACGCCGCGGAATCTCCACCGCGTGGGATTCAAATTCGGGCGCTCGGCAACCAGCTATTCACAACGTTTGCCACGCCCTGGATTCACGCCGATGACCTTCCCAGCGACAAGCAAAGTCAACGGGGAAGAGAGAGACGTAACGACTGCGCGGTTGGCTTAACGGCGGTGGCTCGTGGCGGCCCAAAAAGGTCGTAGAATCGGGCACGGCTCCGCAACACTCTACTCGATGGAAATGTGGGTCACCATTGTGACTGTCCAAACTCTTCTTGAAGGCTTGCACTGATGAAGCGCCCACCACTTCTGGAGGCAAGCTGTTCCACTGGTTAATTGTCCTCACTGTTAGGAAGTTTCTCCTTAATTCCAGGCTGCTTCTCTCCTTGATCGGTTTCCAACTGTTGTTTCTTGTCCTGCCTTCAGAAGGTGCTTTGGGGAATAATTTGACTCCCTCTTCTTTGTGGCAGGCCCTCAAATACTGGAATCCTGCTATCGTGTCAGCCCAGTCCTTCTTTTCATTAAACTAGGATAGGATAGGAGCTAGAAAGGACCTTAGAGGTCTTCTAGTCCAGCCCCCTGCTCAAGCAGGAGATCCTATACCCTTTCAGATAGGTGTCTGTCCAGTCTTTTCTTAAAAACTCCCAGTGTTGGAGCATTCACAACTTCTGGAGGCAGGTTGTTCCACTGGTTAATTGTCCTCGCTATTAGGAAGTTTCTCCTTAATTCCAGGTTGATCAGTTTCCAACCATTGTTTCTTGTCCTGCCTTCAGGTGCTTTGGAGAATAGCTTGACCCCCTCTTCTTTGTGGCAGCCCTTCAAATACTGGAAGACTGCTATCATGTCAGCCCAGTCCTTCTTTTCATTAAAATAGGGTAGGATAGGGTAGGGTAGGATAGGATAGGATAGGAGTTGGAAGGCACCTTGGAGGTCTTGTAGTCCAACCCCCTTCTCAAGCAGGAGATCCTATACCCTTTCAGACAAATGGCGGTCCAGTCTCTTCTTTAAAAACTTCCAGTGTTGGAGCACTCACAACTTCTGGAGGCAGGTTGTTTCATGGATTAATTGTCCTCACTGTCGGGAAGTTTCTCCTTAATTCCAGGTTGCTTCTCTCTTTGATCAGTTTCAAACCCCCCCCCCTTTTCTGTGGCCAATACTGGGATCCTGCTATCACGTCACCAGACATGCCCAATTCCAGCCTCCATTCTGCATCCTTCCCCCAAAGGGAAAAAAACTGCCGCTCTGCACACCCAGCTCTGCCCGTACCGTTTTCAGCTTCCCAATCACGTCCTTCAAGGCCTGGATCTGTTTCGAGGCGGCTGCCCCGTCCAGCTCGGCCTCCACCAGTTTGGACATCAAACACTCCTTCTCGTGCAACAGATGCCGTTTCTGGAGTCTGAAAAAGAAGAGTGTGTCAATCCCAGAAGAAAGAGTGCAGAGGGGGAAGGGGTGGGTTGGAAGACCATAAAGAGAAGAAAAAAACCACGAGCTTCTCTTTGGACAGGCCGGTCTCTAGCTAAAAAGCGAGGGACGGGCTGAGGCCCCCCAGGTGTGGTTCCCACCTCGATCCCCGGGGCCAAAAGCTGCGTGGCATACACAACTCATGCACGCACAACACATTGTCCCGTTTCACACAGCAGCTGCTGTTTCTCCCTTTGGCCTGTTCGTAATAATCGACGTGCTTTAAAAGAAAAGGAATTGAGCCGAGGGGAAAGCTAAGCCAGAAATTCCCTCCCTGAATAGGAGGCAGGAGGAAGGAAAACCTCCATCAGTTGGGAATTCCAGCAACTCAAAATGTCTCCCCAAAGTTTTCTTTCTTTCTCCACCTCCTCCAAACGCTTCTAAGAGCCTGCCTACCCAAACCAGGTTATGTGATTGGAAAAAAAAATATCGCCTTCTGCGGAGTGGATTTTGGAGTCAGCAAAACAAGAGGTTGGGGGGGTGCAAAAAGCATTTTGTTAAACGAATGGGACTACACACAGTGTGTTGCTGGTACACAAAAGAAGCAGTGTTCACATTTGAGACTGCAAGATCTAGATCAGTGATGGCGAACCTTTCAGAGACCGAGTGCCCAAACTGCAACCCAAAACCCACTTATGCATCGACGGGTGCCAGGTGGGTGTGGCCCATTGGCTAGGTGTGGCCCATTGGGTAGACATGGCTGTGGTGGTAACGGCAGACTGGGTGGGGCTAAAAAGTTTAATCAGTCAATTTCAACTTTGGAAGATCTTTTTTTTTCCCGCGAGAAGTTGAAATTGACCGACTGAACCTTTTTTTTTTTTTTGCACACGGCGGCGGAGGCCTAAAGCAAAAAGGTTTTATAAAAGCCAGCTGAAGGCCTAGAAGTGGGGCGACGGCGCGCGTTGCCTACAGAGAGGGCTCTGAGTGCCGCCTCTGGCACCCGTGCCATAGGTTCGCCATCACTGATCTAGATTTTAGCACTGAACAGAGGCAAATGGCCACTCTTCCCCACTCTGACCGAGACAACAGAACTAAAGCCAAATAAAACGGGCTCATGATACAGCAAGGCTCTGTGACTGTGGCCACTTTACGCCTTGTGGACTTCAACTCCCAGAATTCTTCAGCCAGCCAGCCAGCCAGCCAGCATGGTGTCCACCCTGCATCAGGGCTGGCTGAGGAATTCTGGGAGTTGAAGTCCACGAGGCGTAAAGTTGTGGAACCCCGTTCTATAGAGAAGACCATCATTGGTTCACGGTCCTTCCTGGTCCCAAATTGACCGAGCCGCTGAACGTTTCCTTACATGCTGAGATCTTTCTCCTCCTTCATCCTTTCAATATTGCGACGGAGGACGGTGTTCTCGTGTTCCGTCTCCACCAGCTCTTGGGTGACCTCGTCCAACTCGTCCTTCTGCTCTTCCAGAAGACGCTTGGCCACACAGCCCGTCCCAACAATCTTTGGCTGACACTTGACCTGAGGACAAGCGGGACCGGGTCGACACGTGAGTTCCATCCGCGGCACCCCAAAGCATCGTCCTACATCACTCTCGGGAATCTGGGACAAAATCACAAAATGCGTTCTGGTTTGGTCAACCCCACTCTGGTGACCTTAAGAGTTGTTGATCCTAAATTTCCTGAATGTCCACATCACATTTTGAGAAGGGCTCCAACATTTCCCATTATGGGTGTGTGGCTAATCCACTGGCACAAATCAACACATACTAATCTGACTTATCAGGCAGTCGTTACTTATCTACATAAGTTGAGTAAACGAGAGGATTCCCTTGGACATCAACATTAAACTGTTCTGGTATTTTTGGGGAAATAAGGAGCGGCAATTCTATTCTTCAGCTCTGCTCCTTTCTAAGGAAGCAGCTCCAAATTAACAGGAACAAAAGCCAACAACAGGGATTCCCACTTAATTCTTACCAGCTGCCATGCAGAAAAGGAACGTGAGCCAAAGCTGGTCAAAGACCGTGATAAAAATATTGGGAAAAACTTTAATTAACTTCTTCATCTTACTGCTTTTCCTTTCTTTTTTGGGGGGAGTAGTGGTGGGAAGAACCACTTCATTACATTTCTTTCAAAAGCTCAAACAAGGCTGGGTCCCTCAGATTGGGGTCCCTTCCAGGCATGTTGGGCTCGTGTGTGTGTGTGAAAAGAGGGGGGGGGCAAGAGAACCAATAAAAATATGAGCCGTGGTGGCGCAGTGGTTAGAACGCAGTACTGCAGACTAACTCTGCCCACTGCCTGCGGTTTGATTCTCACTGGCTCATGTTTGATTCAGCTTTCCATCCTTCCGAGGTTGGCAAAATAAGGACACAGATTGTTGGGGGCAACAGGCTGACTCTGTAAACCGCTTAGAGAGGGCTGCAAAGCGGTATATAAGTCAAAGTGCTATTGCTATCTATCTATCTATCTATCTATCTATCTATCTATCTATCTATCTATCTATCTATCTATCTACGAATCAATCATCTGCCATGGTAGCGCAGTGGTTAGAATGCAGTATTGCAGATTGATTCTGCCCACTGCCAGCAGTTCAATTCTGACTGGCTCATCCTTCTGAGGTCGGTAAAATAAGGACCCAGATTGTTGGGGGCAAATGCTGACTCTGTAAACCACCTAGAGAGGGTTGCAAAGGCAGTGATGGCGAACCTTTTAGAGACCGAGTGCCCAAACTGCAACCCCAAAACCCACTTATGTATCATCGGGGGCCGGGTGGGCGTGGCTGCGGTGGTAACGGCAGACTGGGTGGGACTAAAAAGTTCAATCAATTTCAACTTTGCAAGATCTTTTTTTTTCCCGCGAGAAGTTGAAATTGACTGATTGAACCCTTTTTTTTTTTTTTTTGCACACGGCGGCGGAGGCCTAAAGCAAAAAGGTTTTATAAAACCCAGATGAAGGCCTAGGACTGGGGCGATGGCGTGCGTGCCCACAGAGAGGGCTCTGAGTGCCGCTTCTGGCACCCGTGCCATAGGTTTGCCACCACTGGTCTAAGGGCTAAGGGCTCTTGCTAACTCGAACCTAGCTCCCGCCCACCTCGTTTTTCAATGTTCCCACGACATTGAGTAAGCTGTCGATCTTCTTCTCGTATTTGTTCATCTTGCAGTGAATGGCGTCCTCCTCGTCGGTGGAGAGGTCGCTCAAGCGAAGCACAGACAGCAGCTTGTCGGAATCTGGAGGGGTGATTTCCAGGCGATGGGTCGGTCCCTGATTAAGGGTGGCAAGAGCGAAACAGGATAGAGCCCAAACCCCGGAGCAGCCTTCCCTAAACTGGCTGCCCTCCAAAAATCCAAGTGGTGGGGAAAGAGTTGGAAAAGGGGGGGGGAGGAAGGAAGAGGAGGGCGCGACCGAAACAGAGGCAGCTTCCACGGCTCGCCCCGTTCAACGGGAAGGGGCGCTAAACACACGGGAAGAGCGTCGCCACGACTTATGACAGACCGGAAGCCGCTGCGGGACTCTCTGCCGAGGGAAAATACAACGCAGGTACTCCTCGACTTACTAATTCGTTTAGTGACCGTTCCAAATTACGCCTTGGGAGAGAAAAAAAGGGACTTCTGTTTTTTCAGACTGACAGCCGTTATGGCATCCCCAGGGTCAGGAGATCAAAATCCAGACACTTGGCCCCTGACTCGTATTTATGACCGTTGCAGGACCCCGGGGGGTCATGTGATCGCCTTTGGGCGACCTTCTGACCGGCAAAAGTCAACGGGGGAAGCCGGATTCGCTTAACGACCGGGTGGCTAACTTAACTGCAGGGATTCCCTTGACAGCTGTGGCGAAAAAGGCCGTAAAATGGGGCAAAACTCAACAATTGTCTCGCTTAGCGACGGAAATGCAGGGCTCAGCGATGGTCATAAGTTGAGGACCACCTGTAATAGACTATTAATGGGAGGTTTTGAAGTTTTAATTTCGCTGTTGGTTTTACCTGTTAACTATGTTTATTTTTCTATATAGTAGGTGGATGCCAGGCCACGTGGATTGGTTAAACCAGTGGGTCCCAACCTTTTCTATACCCCTCACCCCTAGAACGCTTCTGATATATTCTCGCACCCCTTACCAAAGATCAAAATAACGAATTAGGCATATGCACTACAATTTTGACATTTCTAAACCCAAGTTTTTGCTCCCCCTGGAATACCATCTCGCACCCCCAGGGGGAACCCTGAGTTAAACCATGTTGTGGAAAAGTATAAATTTGTGTGCCTGCTTTGTAAAGGGGAAGGGGTGGGGGACAGGAATTATATATTTATCATATTCAAGTGGGGACAATTTGTATGTTTGTTTGGGTTTTTCTCTTTGTGCACTTTTTCGGGTGTGCAGTCTTTGTCTAGTTTCGTTCGGCTTTTGTATTTCGTTTTCTGCACGTTTGGGTTTGTAGCCTGCATTTTAAGTGTTTTATTTCAGCGTCTGTATTTTAACGCGTCGAATAAAAATTTGAGAAAAAACTAAAAAAAGGAGAGCCATCAGGGGACAGAAACACGTGGCCTGGGGTGAGCTTAGTGCCTAAATCAAACCATTTATCTCCCTCCCCTGGGGTCCCTAACCCGAGCCATGGACCAGCCACACAAACGAGCGAAGCCCTGTGGGATACAGGCTGTGCACCAACCCATGTTCCCTCTGGAAAACCTCTCTCCACGGAACCGGAACCGGTCGCCCATTCGGGACCGGGCTGCGTTGAGCAGTTCGCCGGTGCACGCGTGCAGCTCAGTTTGCGTGAGCGGCAGCCCAGCGCGCACACGTAGACCACCTTGCAAGACCAGCGGTCTCTTCTCCCCCCCGCCCACCAGGCCGCAAAGTTTGGGGACCGCTAGTTTAGACAGACACAGCCGCCCTATTCGGGCAAGGTAGTCCCCCCCTCCCCAAAATCCTTCAAATCTTGGCTCGCTGGGACTCGAGTGAGCGAGCAAGCGAGCGAGCCCCGGGCCGAAGTCCTTGGAGAAGCAAGGGAGCCAGCCCGGCTTCAGGGGGCGGGCGGGGGGGAGGTCGCCTACCTCCCACTTGTACGATGATTCTCTGCAAGATGTTTTGCCTGGGGGCATCCAGGGGACTTTAGTTTTTACTCGGACACTGCGGCGCACATTCACGGTATCCCCTTTCATTTTCTGCTTGTGCCTCTGCTGTGGGGGAAGAGGAGGAGAGAGCGGCTTAGGCCTCCCCCATTCCCCCTTCCCGGCCGGGTTACCGCGGGGGGCGAGACTCTGCAAAGCAAACGGAGGCTTTCCCCGCCACCCCCCGCCCGCCGCCCCCCGCCCGGAGGCACGGCGAGAACTGTACCACAGAAAAAGCGTCACATTCTACATCACAGATCAGTCTCAGTAACCACGCTCAGGAAAAAGAAATATAGGTACCGCATAGCTAGGAGAGTATGGGGACAGACCGGCAGGTGCATGGGGCTGGCTTAGCCAAGGCCATTGTGACATCACCCAGGTTGCTTAGCCTCTTGTGATGCAAAGCAGGCCCTTAGTTACCCTGGAAAGGTTAGAGTGGGACAATTTGGAGCAGGGCAGCCGGGGCCGAGAACCACAGCCCGGGCTTCTTCCGGCCGAAGCCAGGAGCGACGAAAGGGGACGGCCCCTGGCGTCGTTGAGGCAAGGCGTAAGGAGAGGCCTAGGGGGTCTCAGGGCAGACAATTCAGTTTTAAGCACAGCCACACAAATCCTGACTTAGGCTACACAAACCCAGTGAGACAGTCGAGGCCGAGAAGCGTGGGAAAGGCCCGGAGATTCGAAATAGCTCCTCCCTAACAACTGTAATCGGTTTGGGACCTCTTCACCCCGTTGAACTTTTGTCTTTTAAGAAGAATTTTATCCCTCCGGCCTCCAGGAACATTTGTTTATCGGCAGAATCAGAGCCAGGAGCTAGCTTATCGAAAGGGAATGCACCCAATCCTAAGAAATGCAATCGCTTCTCCTCCTCCTAGCCTTGTCCTCTGTCAGCTCAGTGACAAGCCTCCCCTGCATTTTTACGATTACGGGAAGAGAACAAGCCCAAAATTGGTCCCCCTGGGGAACAAAAGCTGGTTTTGAGCAAAATCCCCTAAGACAGTTTTGACGGGAGAAAACTGGGGCACACCTACAAGCGGGATCCGAAATACGAGCCCCAATTTGAGACGGTGACGGACAACGTCCAGGTCTGCAGCACAGAGAGAGGAAGCTTCAAGCAGTAGTAGCAGCAGCGGCAGCAACAATAGAGCAAGTTAAGCTGGCACAGATATCTAGGAGCAGCCAAAGCAGACAACTGAGCTTTCGTTGGCCTTGCGGGGGCGCTGAGCTCGGGCTGCCCTCTCATACCTGGGTTTTTGCCGACGGTGGCGTTTTCTGACCCTTTTTAATATGGACATGGACAGGGGTACTTTCATCCACGTGGACGTGCAAGGGGGGAGTTGTGGAGCGGCTCTTCATGCTTCTTCTCGGACAGACAGGAAGGGGCATTCAAGAGAATGGAAAAAGCAACCTGTGAATAAGTAGACTGGAAATAACAAGGGGGGGGGAGAAAAAACGGCCCGCCGGCCTCTCTCAAAAAGAAATGTCCGCGCCCTCTCAGCCTTAGGAGCCGTTTCCTCAGACCGATGGCACAAACCGTCGACATTCCACACATTTAACCTGCCACAGTGCAACGTCCTGTCCAAAAGGCCCACTTCTAAAAGACTGTCTCTTCAAAGCATGGTATCCTGATGTCATCAAGCAACTCGTGAGCGCAAGCAGAAGGAGCCTTAGAGACTTGTGGCCTTCCCAGGAGAAATTGGGAAATCTTAGCTTCCTGCTCCATCAGCTGATGCTTATTGCTTGAACCAGTTCAAATAAAACGGTTTAAAATCAATGTCATATTTTTTATTTTTATTTTTTTTGAAGCTTCCAAGTTCCTCCGAATAAAGGGAAGGCCTTCTCACCGGGCTAAATTGTGACTTAAGAGTTGTATCAGAAGCAAACCACTCTTCCCTTTTACTGGCATATTACAAGGATGCACACAGTGGAAATTCAAAACCGTGCTGATCATCAGCTCATTCTCAATTTCTGGACCCCCATCTACTTCATAACATGCACCAACATGACTCTAGGTTAAAAAAAAAATGACAGATTTAACTTGCGTGGTTTTCTCTGTTTCAAGGGCACGCCCATCCTATAGACTTTTGAGATCTACCTTTCCTTTATCCCCCTACTCAACCTGCACACACAACAAATGAAGATTCCTCCCTGGGTCATTTGGCTGTCACAAAGCTTCCCAGACACCATCCAACCACTGTAAACGACTCCATCTGACCTTGAAACGAAGCAACCCCGTTAAAAAAATTAAAAAGGTTAGTGCTGTTATTTCACGTGTCAAAAGGGACTTCACGGGAGACACGGCAACCTACAGATAGCGTGTCGCACTCTTGCGTGGAGGGTTTCTGAGTTGTGATGATTATTCCGCTCTTAATCGATGGGGACAATCTGGAAGCAAAGGAGGGGGAGGGGAAAGAAAGAAAAAAGAAGTTACCACTTTTCAAGGAAATTCAACATTTCTTCTTCTTCCTGGCCAGAAACCTTCCACAGAGCTTTGGGGGGAGGGTTGAGAGTTTTAATTTGCAATGTTTACAGGGAGTCCTCGATTTACAACAGTTCATTTAGTGACCGTCCGAAGTTACAATGACACTGAAAAAAGCGACTTATGACTTTTTTTTTCCACATTTGCCACTGCAGCATCCCCATGATCATGTGATCGAAATTCAGACACTTGGCAACTGCCTCATAGTTATGACCGTTGCAGTATCCCGGGGTCATGTGACTCTCTTTTGTGAGCTTCTGACAAGCAAAATCAATGGGGTAGCTGGATTCACTTGACGGAGATAACAACTGCACTGATTCACTTAACGACTGTTGCAAGGTCGATCATAAAACGGGGCAAAATTCACTTGACGCCTTTGTCTTGCTTAGCAACAGTTATTTTGGGCTCAGTTGTGGTAAGTCGAGGACTACTTGCATTTCTATTTCAAGCACACCCCCATCCCAGATTTTTGACGCCACCCTGCCTTGGAAATCGAGTTAACAGCAGCTCCCACCTCCCCCAGAGTGATTAGACTTTAGTGGTTGGTTTAAACTTATTTATGTTTTAACATATATGGATAAATAGGTTTCTTTAGGAGTAGGAGCTGCCCCAGAGTCACATTGCGGTAAAATAGGCGGCCAATAAATATTAATAAATAAGGATATAGATACGAGATTAGATATAGATAGATATAGCTAAGAGATTAGATAGGTAGATAGGTAGATGTAGAAGATAGTGAGATAGATAGATGTAGGAGATAGATAGTGAGATAGATATAGATGTAGAAGATAGTGAGATATAGTGAGAGATAGATAAATGTAGAAGACAGATAGATAGATGTAGAAGATAGTGAGATATAGTGAGATAGATAGATGTAGAAGATAGATAGATAGAGAAGATAGTGAGATAGATATAATGTGAGAGATAGATAGATGTAGAAGATAGATGTAGAAGATAGTGAGATATAGTGAGAGATAGATAGATGTAGAAGATAGATGTAGAAGATAGTGAGAGATAGTGAGAGATAGATAGATGTAGAAGATAGTGAGATAGATATAGTGAGATAGATGTAGAAGATAGATAGATAGATGTAGAAGATACTGAGATAATAGTGAGATAGATAGATGTAGAAGATAGACATATGTAGAAGATAGTGAGATCGATATAGTGAGAGATAGATAGATGTAGAAGATAGTGAGATCGATATAGTGAGAGATAGATGTAGAAGATAGATAGTGAGATAGATAGATAGATAGATGTAGAAGATAGGTAAAGATAGATGAGAAAGATGAAAGATATAGACACAGATATGGACGGATAGATAGATAGATAGATAGATAGGTAGGTAGGTAGGTAGATAGATTAGATAGGTAGATATAGATAAGAAACTATATAGATGATAGACTAGTAGATTTGATAGATATAAGCGATAGAGATAAAGAGATAACTAAGGGAGGCAGGCCGGCAGGCCAATTCCTGGGCAGAGCGAGGTCCAGAAACCTCCCCCAGACTTCAGATTGGGAAGCAGAGCCTCCACGTGCAGGGGCAGTCTACCCGAGGAGAAGGGGCGGCTTGGCCCACGCGGCTTTCCGTCGCTGACATTCCTCCTTCTCTCTTCCCCCCCTCCCTCCCTCCCTCCCTCCTCCCCACCCCCACCCCCCGGGCCCGGCTCACCGTGAGGTTCGGAGATGACCCCGGAGCCTCCGCCTCAGCACGTCCTCGAAGCCGTGGATGAGGCGGCGGTAGCTGCCCACGCTACCATGGAGACACGGGAGCCGGGGCGTCGGCGGCCGCGGCCAGAAGCCGCCGCCGCCGCCTCCTCCGCCGCCGCAGCAGCCCCCGCTGCTGCTGTAGCACCGGCAGGCCCCCGACGCCGCCGAACAGCCGCCGCAGCTCCACGGACCGCAGAGAAACTTCCGGCTCCGCCTCCGGGACGCCGCCCGCCGCTCCCCCATTGGACGGTTCAAACCCCACGCCAACGGCGCCCGCGCGCCCTCGTGACCGCCTCCGCTTCCGGCTGGCCCGCGCCTGCAGCCCGCCGCCCGGCCCTCGCCCTTAGTCCCGCCCCCCGTTGCCCGGAGACGCCGCGCGGGGCGTCACAAGGCGCGCCCGGGCCCGGGGGGGGAGACGACGACGCCGCGGCGCCGTTGCCAGGGAAACGAAGGGAAGGGAGGGGCGGGAGAGGAAGACGGAATAACAGGAGTTGGAAGGGGTCTTGTGGGTCATCTAGTCCAACCCCCTTGTTCAAGCAAGAGACCCTATACCAGGGGTAGGCAACCTTGGCTCTTTTATGACTCATGGACTTCAACTCCCAGAAAGAGCCAAGGTTGCCTACCCCTGCCCCATACCAAGGGTCTTCCAACTTGGCCCTTTGACGACTTGTGGGCTTCAACTCCCAGAATTCCTCAGCCAGGCACGCCTGGCTGAGGAATTCTGGGAGTTGAAGCCCACAAGTCGTCAAAGGGCCAAGTTGGAAGACCCCTGCCCTATACCATTTCTGACAAGGGGCTCTCCAGTCTCTTCTTAAGCCTCTAGTGATGAAGCACCCACAACTTCTGAAGGTCTTGGTTCTCCAACGTCTCTGGGGAAAACCTGGAACTGAACGGGGCCATTGGATTGGACGGAAAAAATTCCCTTCTGGGCTTGGGGACTGTAGTTCCCATCATCCCCTACCACCTTGGCTCCATTAAATCAGATCAAAAGCTCTGGAAAAAAAACCCTGCAACTGGATGCATCTGTTGGATCGGATTACATTCATGCTGGGCCCTAAGGGAATAAAGACCCTTCTGGGTTTGGGACTATAGTTTCCATCATCCCCTACCACCTTGGCTCCATTCAATCAGATCAAAAGCTCTGTAAAAAACCTGCAACTGGATGCATCTGTTGGATCGGATTACATTCACGCTGGGCCCTGAGGGAATAAAAACCCTTCTGGGTTTGGGACTATAGTTCCCATCATCCCCTGGCCAATCATGCATTATATCACCTCAAGGAATTACAATCACATGGATCATAGTTTTTTTAGATTTCTGTTTTGACTATATTGTAAGCCAGACAGAGTTGCTTTGGATGGCGAGATGGGCAGGCATATGAAGTTAATAAATAAAAATAGACAAATTATATCTTTGGCATCAGACCCTTTCCACCCAAATTGCTCTCTGGGCCTTTTTTTTAGGCTTCACATGTGTTAAATGTGTAGAATTAAACCCCAAAAGTCGAAGGATGTTTGTGAAGAGACATCACACACAAAAAGCTAGCTTGGACAGTTCTTCATTAGGGCTTTGTAGCGGCTTAAGATGGGTGATTTTAATCAGAATTACAATAAAATCTCTCTCCAGCTTCTTTGGTAGTGCTAACAATGGACCTGTAAAGAAACAGCCTTAATTTCAAGGCTGATTACGATGGGTTGAGTTCAATATGACAGCGAAATCCTTGATCACCACCGTAGGCCCTGACTATGGTTTACAGCTTGCCATATCTAACTATGGTTCAGTCAGTAAACCCATTTCAGATCTAATAACCATCTCTGAGGTACTATGCTGGTGGAAAACCTTTTTATATGAAACCTGAGGGTCGACCGCTTTTCGCTTTCAGCCAATGGGAAGAGACAGGCAACCGTGTGGCTATTGGGTCTTTCTGCGGGCACAAGGACCAATTGTCTTGCCAGATAAAAGAGCCAATGGTGGAGAGAAGTCTGAAGCTGGGCCACCAATTAGGTTAAGTCTGGGCTTGATGGGGAGGGGGGTAATGGGGGGCAGAGGTGGTATATAAAGGGGGCAGCTGGCAGCAGGAGCCACTTTGTCCCTCAGAAGAGCTGGAAGTCAGAAGAAAGAAGTGGGAAGAGAAAGGAAGGCTAGAAGACTGAAGACTGCAGAGGAAGAAGGCTAGAAGGTGGCTTTGGAGAAGAGGAAGGTCTTGAGCTGAATCCCAAGAAGAGATTTGTGGGTCACTTGCAACAATGCCTAGGAAGAAGGAAAAGTGATGCCAGCAAGCCTAATCCCCGAGAAAATGGAAGCAGTCACTGTAGGTGCTTAAAGCTGAAGTCTTAGATATTAAAAGGGTCAAAGAGAGGCTGTTGGGAGGACCAGAAAGAGAACATGATAGTAGTGTTCCAATATCTCGGGCTGCCCCAAAGAAGAGGGAGTCAAGCTGTTCTCCAAAGCCCCTGAAGGCAGGACAAGAAGCAACAGATGGAAACTAATCAAGGAGAGAAGCAACCTAGAACTAAGGAGAAACTTCCTGACAGTGAGAACAATTAACCAGTGGAACAACCTGCCTCCAGAAGCGGTAAACGCGCCAACACTGGAAGTTTTTAAGAAGAGACTGGACAGCCATTTGTCTGAAATGGTAGAGGATTTCCTGCCTGAGCAGGGGGTTGGACTAGATGACCTCCAAGGTCCCTTCCAACTTTATCATTAGTATTATTATTAATTCTGACTCAGAGCTAAAGTCCTAGAATTGGAGGGCCAAAGAATTACCACTGGAGGGACCAGGAGGGGAACTTTAGGAAACCACTGCAATTCAGTCTCTGGCTTAGAGCTGAAGTCCTACAATCAGGGCCAGAGAGCAATGACCACTGGAGGACCAGAAAGAGAACTTTGGGGAACTCCATCCTAATACAGCCTCTGAAATAAGGACCAGAAGGAGAACTTTACTTTGGGAAGCTAGAGAGCTTTCGAAGTCCCTTCCCTAAACACCTCTGCATTATTTCCATGAACTGGATTGGCCAATTATCCCCCTTAAGTCTCATTCTTTCTTCTAAAAGTTTTAGTGAAATAAAAGTGTCACACTTAAGAAAATATACATTTATCCCTTTTTATACTAATGAGTACAAGCACAGATCAAAAGTGGGAAGAATGTGGCATTTCACACCCAGTAACACACTTGGGAGTTTTTTTCTAAAGGAGGGGAAAAGCTAAAAAAAAAATCATTTCTGGATCAGGCCATGAATTTACAAACTTATATAAAAGGCTCCTTGTTATTAGTGTCATTATAAAAATTTACATTATTTCCCCCTGACACAATAGTGTCCCTCAGAGCAGCCATAAAGCTCATTATGAGACTTGGCTCCAGAAAATATTTAGGTGCGTATTTCACAGAAGGATTTGCAGTAAAAAATAATACCAAGTCATAGCAGCAAAAGAAGACCCCATTTTATTGTAACTTTTGCTTTCCTGAGCTGGAAGACCTTTGTGAAGGTTTTTGCCTCCTAAGCTGAACATCACACAGGTTTAGGATCACTCAGAAAAAAGGCCAAGCTTTTTTTGCCTCAAAATCTGCCTCTCAAAAGGGCAGATCAAAAACCCAGTTTGAGAAATTAAGTCTGTATTTGTTATTTCATACACAAAGCAATCACTCATTTGACCTCAACTTACTTCTCAAATGTTATGCTTGAGGCAGGGATGGTAAGCAAAGAGTCGTTTCTTTAAAACCACCAAAAGGAACACCTTGGCGACTGTTAGGATAAATGCAAATCTTTCTGACCAAAACAACATTTAATTTCATGAGAATCATTTTAGTTGGCAATCCTTAAATATGTCTATACCCCTCTTCTAAAAATCTGAAACATAAGAGCGATATCAATGTTGCAGATTAATTCATTCGTGAACCAGCTCCCTTGTCATATCACAGCCACAGTAAAGAAATTTATGGGCTAAAATAGTGCACAGGAATCACACTTGAGCTATTCTGGTACCAAGGACCCACTTTTTAAGTTTAGCTAAATCCGAGTTTCGTCATAAAATCCTGAGGGCAGGATCTTATTATCCTTTTCCTTAACCGTCTGCTCCCAATTTCCTATCTGAATTTGAATAGAGATGTTTCCCCAAATAACACTATCAAAACTGTTGCAGTAGTATCATTCTAAAAGCATCGTTATGTGCCTATAATTGCCACCTCTAAGCAACTCAGAGGCTTCTAAAACAAAAAAAGAATTGCAATTTGAAGAGAAAAACCTGCCTGCAACGCAAGCCAATCCTGATTTAACAGGCATCCCAGAATATATAACCGTTTAAAACCGAACGTGAGAAAGAAGCATTTCCTTTCATAAGCCGGTACCGAAATCCTAAAATTAAACCCGGGCGTCAGGACAATTCAAAATATTTTCTGCCTGGAGCAGAAGAAGCTTCGCAGGAGCGTCCAAGCATTTGTTTCCTTCCATCCAGGCTGAATTTCGTGTTTTTTGGAAGTGACCAGGAAAGATGCTTACAAGCTGCCTTTAACTCAAAACCCGGCCTCCAAATAACCCAGTCTCCTCTTGGCGCTTTGCAGGCTTCCCTAAAAATCAAAATAAATCCATATCTCCATTGAGATTCTCCTATGACTGTGATTTAAGTTCTATTCCGGTGCCCCTTTGGTGCCCGTCCGGTCCAATGCGCAGAACTACACTGCTTTAAATCGAATCTGCTTTTCCTAGGCGAGGCGAAATCTCAGTCCCCGAGATTCAGCACTGGGCACAGCTGGCCATCTCCCCCTGCCCGATGGCATCCTCCATGCGGTGGTACCAAGGCTGAACCTTGGTGTGCACCATCACGTCGTCAAAAGCCTCCAGGCCTTCCATCACCCGTAGGACCCCGTAGACCGCCTGGGTGGAGGAAAAAAAGCAAAAATCAGCAACAAAGGCACGGAGCCGTTCTTTGAATAGAAAAAGAAGGACTTTGAAATGAAGAGAAGGGCTAGGGGTGACGTGATAGCGGGGTTCCAATATTTGAGGGGCTGTCCCAAAGAAGACTGGAAGGGGTCAACTTATTCTCCAAAACACCAGAGAGCAATACAAGAAGCAACAGATGGGAACTAATCAAGGAGAGAAGCAGCCTGGAATTAAGGAGAAACTTCTTAACAGTGAGGACAATTAACCAGTGGAACAGCTTGCCACCGGAAGTTGTGGGTGCTCCACCACTGGAAGTTTTTAAGAAGAGATTGGACAGCTATTTGTCTGGAATGGTACAGGGTTTCCTGCCCGAGCAGGAGGTTGGACTAGAAGACCTCCAAGGTCCCTTCCAACTCTATTGTGATTGATTGATTGATTGATTGATTGATTGATTGATTGATTGATTGATTGAAATGGTCTAGGCAGGGTCTCCTGCTTGGACTAGCAAACATGGCCTCGTCGCTTACCAAATCTGCAAGGTTCGGCTGCTCTCCTCCCATGAACTTCCTATTTTTGCCAACAGCCTTCAGCCAATCTTCCACCGCTTCGTACAAGTCTTGCCGGACATCGTCCCGCATATGGTGCCTGATTCGAAAGCAAGTACATTTAATTGGTTCCGGGAGGCGCGAGGAGTAGCCAAAACAATGAGAACCACATACAATTTTTTCCCCCATAAGGAATAAGGTAGTGCGTCACAAGGCAGCCAACAGCGACACATTCTAGCTTTCATATCGAATACCAAAGAAATGATGAGTACAAGGACAAAAATTTCATATCAAAATGCATTTTTAAGTACCAAATTCGACGAGTTTCAAAGCAGTTGAGCACTAAGGTACCCCTGTATCTGTGTGAAGAATCTGTTCTATCTATCTATCTATCTATCTATCTATCTATCTATCTATCTATCTATCTATCTATCTATCTATCTATCTATCTATCTCATCAGCTTTTAAGACTTGTGGACTTCAACTATTGTAAAGTTGTTTAAATAGGGAGTTAGAATCAAAATCACGCAAAGTATTAGTACCGCTTTATAAAACCGTACTAAGGCCACACCTGGAATACTGCAGGCAATTTTGGTCAGCATACGACAAGAAAGATGTTTGGAAAAAGTTCAGAGAAAAGCAACTAAGACGATTAAAGGACTGGAGACTAAAACATACGAACAATGGCTGCAGGATTTGTGAATAGCCAGTCTAGAGAAAAGAAGAAATAGGGGAGACATGATAACAGTATTCTAGTATATGATGGGCTGCCACAAAGAAGAGGGGTCAAGCTATTCTCCAAAGCACCTGAAGGCAGGACAGGAAACTGATCAAAGAGAGAAGCAACCTGGAATTAAGGAGAAACTTCCTAACAGTGAGGACAATTAATCAGTGGAACAGCTTGCCACCAGAAGTTGTGGATGCTCCATCACTCGAGGTTTTTAAGAAGAGACTGGACACCATTTGTCTGAGATGGTATGGGATCTTCTGCTGGAGCGGGGGGCTGGACTAGAAGACCTCCAAGGTCCCTTCCAGCTCTATTCTAGTCTAACTCCCAGAATTCCTCAGCTATGAATTCTGGGAGTTGAAGTCCACAGGTCTTAAAGTGGTCAAGTCAGACACTACTGATCTGCAGTGTACAGAAGAGTGTGTACACACACACCCACACACACACACACACACACACCGAGTCCGACCTAGGCATGCAAAAGCATCAGGAAAAGCACCCACCTTTTCTTCAACCTCTTGCTTACGAAGAACATGGCGGCCGCCCCCACGTATTTGGCAAAAAACCCTTCCACTAGGCCAAACTTCCCTTCCCGCACGATGTAGTCGAAGGAGGCCAAGGCTTCTCCCGGTGTGCGGTAAACATTGGGAGAGATCAAGTGGACCAGCCGATCGTCCACCCACTTCCGCCATTTCATTTCCTCCCTGCGGGGAAAAAAAAAAGCAGGGAGATAGTCCCCCTGGGTGGGTGGGGGGCAAGCAGGAAGAAGGAGAGAGAGCCCCCCCACCCAACCCTTCCTAATACATGGTTGTTAAGGGAACGTGGGAAGAAAGATGCATCAGGACAAGAAACAATGGTTGGAAATTAATCAAAGAGAGAAGCAACCTGGAATTAAGGAGAAACTTCCTGACAGTGAGGACAATTAACCAGCGGAACAGCTTGCCACCAGAAATCGTGGGCGCTCCATTACTGGAGATTTTAAAGAAGAGGCTAGACAGTCACTTGTCTGAGATGGTATAGGTTCTCCTGTTTGAGCATGGGGCTGGACTAGAAGACCTCCAAGGTCTCTTCCAGCTCTATTCCATTCTATTCCTATTCCTATTATTTCTATTTCTATTTCTATTCCTATTCTATTCTATTTCCATTTTCTCTATTTCTATTATATTCTCTCTATTTCTATTCTATTCTATTCTATTCTATTCTATTCTATTTCTATTCTATTCTATTCTATTCTATTCTATTCTATTCTATTCCTCATTCTATTCATTCCATTCCTTATTCTATTCTATTCTATTCTATTCTATTCTTCATTCCATTCCATTCCTTATTCTATTCCATTCCTCATTCTATTCTGTTCTATTCTATTCTATTCTATTCCATTCCTTACCCTACCCTACCCTACCCTACCCTACCCTACCCTACCCTACCCTACCCTACTCTATTCTATTCCCAGGGTGGTTTAGGGTTAGCAATGGTTCTTCCAGATTTTGCTTCTCCCTCTCTCCATAACTTTTGCAGCAAGTTCTCCCCAAACCTCTCCTCCGCCCCCGCCCCCCCGGTCCTCCAAGCAAGACCCACTTCCTGACTTCCTCGACCGGATAAACGCAGAGGGCCTCCTTGTTGTTCAGCATCAACCAATATTTGTTCCCAAACTCAGCCACCTCCTTCCCTTCGCTGTTGGTGGCTTTTATAGACGGGTAGTACGAGGCAATTTCTTCCAAGCTCTTCCTAGAAAAAAAAAAGAGAATTACGTCGCCGTCAATGCAGGCTCAGGGGTTTTTTTTCCCCTCTCTCTTCCTAATCACAGTCGAAAGATTAAAACGAAGCGGCATTCAAACAGTATTAAGAACTGTGCTGAAACCCATCAAGAAATAGCCAACAAACGCATCATCTTCCTGTTAAAGCACTTTTGTTCTGCAAACATCACACAGGACAATCCCTCCCACCCATATCCGCATTTGGTGGAAAGAGAATAAGAGGCAAAGAATGGAAGAATTACCCCTCCTCTCCCTAAAAAAAAAAAAAAAAGGGCAGAAAAACTGTCTTTTACCTGGATATAAGGTGGCTTTTAATGGCGCTGATGATCACGGAAGAGTCGTTCAGTTGCTGGAAAAAAAAGAGAATAACGTTAAGCATCAATAAACCAGAATATAAAACCTCTTTCTCAGTGTTTATCTCAGCTTTAATGCTTTAATAATGCCATCGTGGCTTTATTTATTTAAAGGTCGCTTGATGAAATGTGGGGAAAAAAAAACTTAAAAAGAGCTGAATTTCTTTGGAGGTTCTCAGTCATCCAGGCCAAAGGATTTATATTCCTATATATTTATATTCCTGTCTGCAAGGCGTATAAATCCTTCCATTTCCCCACCATCCAGTCAGAGCTGAAGAAGCTTCTGGGAGGAGAAGCGAAACGTCTTCAAAGAAAAACAAGAAAGTCCAGTGGCCTCTTGAAAAAAAAAAAAAAAGCACCTTTGGGATAAAAAAAGCTGCTGACATGAAATCACCCAGATAATCTGGACTTAGGATAAATTTCCTAACAGAACGATTCATCCACATAAGTAGTCCTTGAATTACAACAGCCAGTTTAGTGTCCGTTCAAAGTTACAACGGGACTGGAGAAACTCACTTAAATATTTCACTTAACGACAAAAATGTTGGGCTCAATTGTGGTCGTAAATTGAGGACTACCTGGAGGATGTCTTTCCTCCAGAATTTGCGGGTGCTCCATCACTGGAGGCTTTTAAGAAGAGACTGGACAATTATTCAGGTAATTGAGCAGGGGGTTGGACTAGAAGACCTCCCGGATCCCTTCCAACTTTGTTCTTCTGTTAAAATAATCTGGTTAAGGACCAGACAGCCCTTTGTGCCAAAAAAAAAAACCCCACCCCACAATGCATTTGCCTCTATCACATGGGATAAAAACCATAATCGGTACTCAATCCTATTATTTACTATTCACGAACCCGGGTGAAGTAAATAAACACAACATTTACACAGCAGTCCCTAAACGTGGAAGGGCCAGCTGAGAAACTCACCAGAGTGCTGCCCGTATCGATGAGCAGAATGGGGACTTTTCTGTAGGAGGAAAATTTGATTTCTTTCCGCATGACCGGGTTCACCTCCACAATGTCATAAGGCAGCTGGTGATAATCCAGAAAAGCTCGGACCTTGCTGCAGAACGGACAGGTTTTATACTGGTAGAGCGTCAGATGGAGATGGCTGTCCGGCAGGATCTAGAAGGGAATTCAACACACACAGACACACAGAAGGGAAGACAATGTAGAATAGAATAGAGTTAGAGAATAGAATAGAATAGAATAGAATAGAATAGAATAGAATAGAATAGAATAGAATAGTTGGAAGGGACCTTGAAGATTATAATAATAACAACAACCACAACTTTGTCACTTTGAATGTACACCAATCGGCATGCATCAAAATGTGACCGCAAATCTGCAGGTTCTGATCAGGTTGGCATCCACACTAGGCTGTGTTGTTTTTCTGTTCATAAATGTGTGTATACGTATTATTATTATCATTATTATTATTTTGGTCATGTTTATGCAATGTATATTGGAGGCGGTTCCCCTCTTGAGAACTGTCTGCAACGGAATCTCCTTTTAATGTCTTAACGTACATTTAAAGCGACAATAAAGTTATTATATTCTATTTCCATTCTATCAACGGGTTTCTCATCCCCGACCAGCTTTTAGCCCGGTGGACTTCAATTCCCAGAATTCCTCCGCCAGCATGCACGGGAATTCTGGGAGTTGAAGTCCATGCAGCTTAAAGGGGCACAGCAATTTTTTAAATTTGTTTTTAAAGGAACTGGGGTGATTTTGAGGAGCCAAGCCCCCAGCGGCAGCTGCTTAGGGGGGGGGACCGGGGGTAGGAAGAGACACGAGGTTGCAAGCTTGCAAGGTGAAGCCCCCCCACCCCACCCTTCCCTCCTCAAGGACCCACCCCGCTGCGCCCCATGGGAGTTGCAATCCCCCCCCGATGGGTACTGCAATGGTTGCAATTGCAGAATTGCAAGGGTTCTCCCCCCCCAGAGGTTTGCACATCTGTCCGCCCTCCTCTTCCTCGCTTTACCAGGTCCCGCTGCTGCTCGGCCAGCTGTTCCTGGGCTCCGAAGCGGCGGCGCAGCGTCCGGCCGGTGCCCAGCGCGGCTCCCAAGGCGAAGGCGGCCCCCAGCAGGACCCTCGGGGGCGGCCAGCTCCAGCCTCGCCCGGGGCTCCCGGAGGAGGAAGAGGAGGAGGAGGAGAAGCCGGCCCGGGGCAGCCGCCACGCGCTCCGACCCAGGCCGGGCCAGCCGCTGCACGCGAGCCGCGCCAACGCCATCTTCGCCTTCTGCAAAAGAGGGAGGCGGGCGGGCGCCTGGGGGAAGCTTTGCAAGCAATGCCATCACTCCCCCCCCACCCCCCTGCAAGAGGCAGGCAGGAAGGAAAGCGCCCGGCCCGGGAAATTGCAACCTGGACACGCGTTGCATTCTCACGTGAAGGGCTCTCGATTTCTGGAGTCTAATTTTTTATTTTTATTTTTTGCTAATGCAAGGCGTGCTCTGCCTATACGACCCCCCTCCCTTCGCTAGGTCGGCGCTTCCGCGTTTTGCACGGGTGTGCCAAGCCTTGTGAACGTGGGAACGCGGCCGCTTGGAGATCGAAGCTCGCATGGGGGGTGGGGGGGGAGGCGAAGCTTGCCCTGCCAGCGGGTTTTGCAAAGAGCCTCGAAGGAGGAGACACCCCCCCTTGATCCCCCCCCCTTTCTCTAGGGAAAAAAATGATTTTTCCTTTCTGTTTTTATTTTGGGGGTTTGATTCTGCCGTCTGCAACCCTAGATGCCAATCGCCCGCCCGCGTCCTTTCAGACCGGCGGCCCTGCCTAGAACCGTAAACTTTTCAGCCAGCGAAGGGGCGGGGCTTCTTAAAGGCGCAGGCGTTGACCTTCCCTGGAGGTGAATTGCTAGTCAATTTCACCGCCTCTAAAAAGGGTCAATGATGAACCTTCATTCATAAAAAAAAAAAAAGGTTTGTGTGTGTGAATAAATCTTTTATTTCCTGGATGCTTCCTAAATTAACCCCCCTTTAACCCCCCAATAAATTCTGGATATTGATGATTCTGCACCATCAATTACTATTATTATTATTTATTATTATTTATTGAATTTATATACCGCCCTATCTCCCTTACGGGACTTAATTACTATTAATGCAATTAGGCCATTACTAATGCTAAATTACTGTCTTTGGTTTAATAATGGCTTAATATTAAATAATAGTTGAATAACAATCTCTAGCATCTTTGGGAAAGGCCTGCGGCCAGGGGGCGGGGCTTAGCCGAGGAGGCGGGGCTAGGCCGCCGCAGCCGCGCTCGGCGTTCCATCCTGGAAGCGGGGGGGGCGTGGCCTGGCCCTTTGCAACATTGTTTCCGCGTTCCATCCGGGAAAGTGGGGGGCGTGGCTTATAGCTGGCTCTTACTCAAGCGGGGATGTCGGGTCCGAACGGGGAACCGCAGCTCCATCTGGGGCGGGGCGGCCAGGAGGAGGAAGAGGAGGAGGAAGAGGAAGGCTTCGGGGAGGCAGGTAACCTTGAGATCCCTTTGCAAAGGGGCAGATCTCCCCCCCCAGCGGATCCCTCTCTTGGGGGGGGAGATCTTCCCTTGCTTTCTTCCCCCAGGATCGCTGAGGATCGAGCCGGGTGTGGGGAGGGGGGGGCGGCTTTGCAACGTGCCTGAAGCTTGCAAAGGGATCTTATTGGTGATCCCTGCAAGGAGAAAGCCAGCAGATCCAAGCGACCGGCCCAGAAAGCATCTCTCTGCACAGCGTGATCCTTTGTCGTTTTGTGCCAGATAGGGATGTAAATGGGATGAATACGTGAATTAATAAGAGGTGGGTCTCTGCCTTTTCAAGCTGTGAAAGTGTGCTTGTGTGTGTGTGTGTGTGTGTGTGTGTGTTTAGCCAGGCTGGCAGGGGAGGGCAGGGGGGGCAGGTCATCTCAAAGACTGCAGCTAAGAGAGTCTTGAATTTTGAAATAGAATCATTGGACTGGAAGGGATCTCGGAGGTCATCTAGTCCAACCCACCCCGTTCAGACAGGAGACCTCGTGCCATCCCCGCTCAAATGATTGCCCAGCCTCTTTTCGAAAAACCTCCCCAGGAGGCAAGGCTTAAAATAAAATGTACTTATTTTATTGATTGCAATTTACTCCGCCGGTCATTTTATAGCCAATGATTTTAATCAGTTCTTTTAAAAAAAAAAAAAAAAAAAAGTTTATTACGCTGTGTAAGCCCTCCAGAGTCGTTCCCAAACAAGAAGGGTGACCAGTAAATTGAATAATTAAATTAATTACTTAAAAGAATAAATAATTAACTAGCACTGATGAGGTTAGCTACTTTGGGTAATGAAATGAAATGCAAGAAAACAAGCAAGCTCAGAGAGCACCAAGGACACCTACAGTCCTCCTTTTCCTCCTCCTCCTCTTCCTTTCCAGACCCCACTCCCTTCTAGCACTGATGAATTTACCTAGTTGGGTCATGAAACGTCTGCAAGAGAACAACCAAGCTCAGGGAGCACCACCAAGGACACCTACAGTCCTCCTTTTTTTTCTTCTTCTTCTTTTTTCTTCTTCTTCTTTTTTCTTCTTCTTCTTCTTCTTCTTCTTCTTCTTCTTCTTCTTCTTCTTCTTCTTCTTCTTCTTCTTCTTCTTCTTCTTCTTTCTTCTTCTTCTTCTTCTTCTTCTTCTTCTTCTTCTTTTCCTCCTTCCTCCTTCCTCCTCCCTGCAAGCCCCATTCTCTTTTAGTACTGATGATGTTACCTAGTTGGGTCATGAAACGTCTGCAAGAGAACAACCAAGCTCAGAGAGCACCAAGGACACCTACAGTCCTCCTCCTCCTCCTCCTCCTCTTCTTCTTCTTCTTCTTCTTCTTCTTCTTCTTCTTCTTCTTCTTCTTCTTCTTCTTCTTCCTCCTCCTCCTCCTCCTCCTCCTCCTCCTCCTCCTCCTAGTCCTCCTCCTCCTCCTCCCTGCAAGCCCCATTCTCTTCTAGCACTGATGATGTTACCTAGTTGGATCATGAAACATCTGCAAGGAAACTACCAAGCTCAGAGAGCATCAAGGACCCCTCATGTCAACCCTGAGCTACACATATTCTCCTTGATTAACTAAAAGAAGTTGTTGATACACATGGAGATGGGTGGGTTACCTCCAGCATCTCTTTTGAAAGGACTTTTGCTTTTTTTCCCTCCCCTCCCGAGCAGAATACGCTGCCATCAACCTCATGCTGGACCAGATCAACTCCTGCCTGGATCACTTGGAGGAGAAAAACGACCACCTCAACACTCAGCTGAAGGAGCTGCTGGAATCGAACCGGCAAACCCGTCTGGAGTTCCAGCAGGAGCTCGGCCAGGAAGGGGACCCCGGGAAAGCCCAGCCGGATTCTTAAGGGTCCCAAAATCAAACTTGGGGCTTCAAAAGGCTGCAGGCTCTCTGGCTGACGAGTCACACGGCTGGCGGATTCTCTCAAATCCGGCTTTAAAAAAAAATTAAATCGGCCTCTCCTGGTTGAGTTGCAGAGATCCAGACACTGTAAATCTTGCTAGTGTTTCTAAAAAAGGAACTTTTAATAAAGGAGTGTGTTTGTGGGAATTGTCATCGGGAGAGGTAGCGAGTGTTTGACATACATTTCATTTAGTGACCACTTCATTTAGTGACCACGGAAAGTTACAATGGCACCGAGAAAATTGATTGTCACCCTTAGGACCGTTGCAGCATCCCCAGGGTCACGTGATCCAAATTCAGATGCTGGGCAACTGACTCATATTTATGACGGTCGCAGCCATCCCCGCTGTCACGGGATCACAATTCAGACGCTTGGCAACTGACTCGTATTTATGACGGTCGCAGCGTCCCCGCAGTCATGTGATCAAAATTCAGACGCTGGGCAAATGACTCGTATTTATGACAGTCGCAGCGTGCCCGTGGTCACGTGATCAAAATTCAGACGCTGGGCAAATGACTCGTATTTATGACGGTCGCAGCGTCCCCGTGGTCACGTGATCAAAATTCAGACGCTGGGCAACTGACTCGTATTTATGACGGTTGCAGCGTCCCCGTGGTCACGTGATCAAAATTCAGACGCTGGGCAACTGACTCTTATTTATGACGGTCGCGGCGTCCTGGGGCCATGTGTACCCCCTTTTGCAAACTTTAGACAAAGTCAATGGGGGAATCCAGGTTCATTTAAGGACCAGATTACTAATTTAACAACTGCAGGGATTCCCTTAACAACTGTGGCAAGACAGGTCGTAAAATGAGTCAAACTCTCTTAACCCGTCTCTCTTAGCAAGCCGTTGTGGTGACAAATCCTGTAATTGCCAGCCACAAAACCTCTCTTATTTGGATAATTGGATAGAATTCTAGCATTACTGTGAGCGAGCTTAGATTAAACCAGGATGGGTCTGCTGAAAAGACCAACATTCAGGGGCTAAACAGGCTACGTTTTGCCCCGGGATGTTTGCCATACAGGCCGACTTTCTTTAACCGTGGTTGAACTCTCCTGGCTGAGCCAGTGGCACAAACCCCGGAAACCCTTTTCTTGCAATTAACGTAGTTAGATCGTGGTCACTGATTAAATGACGGAACGCTGTGCAAAACGTCTCAGACTGTCTTTCTTTGTTTCAAAGTGCTTTTTTTTGTTTCTTTTTGGAGGAAAATGACGGTTAAGCCCTGCATTGAAGACCGAAAAGCTATTCGGGGTTTTTTTTTTTTCTCCTTTTTTATTATTATTCTTTTTTTTAAAACAACCAACTAGGAAAAAACTAGAACGTTTCTCTCTTTCGCTAAAAGTGGAAGGCAAAGGAAGGGAGGGAATTCTCGGGAAAAACTACGGAGAAGAAATTTAGCCACCGCTCTCATCTCGCCCTGCGCCGGTTTGAACGCCGGAGACCGGAGGTCGTCTCCCCTTCGGCCGGCGTGAAAGGGGCCCCATCCTGGCTGGCCGGACCTTGGCTCCGCTCGGCCTCGTCCGGCTCCGTTGATGCAGAATCTGCAGCCAGTTTTCCCTGAATTTCCAGACTGGACTGCTCTCCTGCGGGGTGCAGTCCGGGCCCCTCGCCTGACACCCCGCCGTCTTGGCCCGTGGAGCTGTCGCTGCCCGGCGAGGACGGCTCGCGCTTCTCGTCAATGACGAGAACGCCGCAAATATCATCCGTTTCATAGTCTCCTGAGCACGTCTGGATGACCTCGGGGGGCTCGGGAGAGGAGGGGATTCTCTGGCGTCTGGCCACGGCCTCTTCTGGATGGTGAGGTTTAGCCGGAGAGGAAGCTTGGTGGTCCGGCAGCTGTGAGGGGGGGTCTGTATGTCCGGACGTAGCCTGGAGCCGGGAGGCCCTGTATCTCTGCGGGCGGAAAAAAGAACTGAGGATTGAATTTCTTTTTAAAAAAAAAAAACTGGATTGGGAACCCAATGTGGGCCACCGCAGCTTTATGCAGCACACTAGTCCTCATGGGGACAACACATCGTAAGGGTTAGGACAGTGGTTCTCAACCTTTTTAATGCCGCGACCCCAACCGGTCGTAAAGCGAGGACTAAACGGGTCGTAAGTCGACTAAACTGGTTGTAAGTCGAGGACTAAACCGGTCGTAAGTCGAGGCCTACCCAACCGGTCGTAAGTCGAGGACTTTCCCTGCCCGGGAGCACCGTGCATGCGTGGTTCCGCCCCCTGCGCCGGCCGAGGCGTAGCTGGCAAGCGACAGAGACGGAGCAGGCTGACCACCAGCTGGCCCAGCCCAAGGGAGGTAAGGCACCCGCCGGAAAAGGGGGGAAAAAATGGCGGACAAAAAAAATGGCGGACAAAAAAAATGGCGGACAGCCTTGCTTGGCGACCCCCATGAAATGGTAGATCGACCCCAAATGGGGTCCCGACCCACAGGTTGAGAACCACTGGGTTAGGAAGTCCCGTGGCTGAATAATGAAGACACTACCATGAGCCTCTTCAGGCACTGAGAAATGGCTTTTTTGAGGGTTGATTTTTAAGGGAAAGTGAAGCAAAAACCCAAATCCAGGAAGTCCTTGACTTAACCACCGGCCGTCTGACGTAAAAACAGGGACTTCCGATCCAAATTTGAAGTTCTGACCTCAGGACCTACGCGGCCACATAACTAAACATCCGTGTGTTTATTTTAATTCATTAAATTTCCATGCTTATTTATTTATTCAATTTAAAAAATGTTCGTCCTGGGGTCCGTTCGCAGGTCAGCACAATGGACGACGATTTATTTATTTATTTATTCCCCTTCTGGAAACCAGCATGGACTTCCAGAACACACGACCACAACCGAGGTTGTAAAATCAGTCACCGGGTGGTCTCCTTAACGATCGTCAGGGCTGGGGACTGAAATGGCGGGCTCGGCGACGGACATAAGTCAAAGACTTTTAACGGTAGCCCCCAATTGTGCCCAAATGCCGGAACGGGGTCCCGATTTCCAGGCCAAGAGAAGAAGGTCGGCTGGCCCAGAAGGGGGGATGGAGAACCGCTGGAATCCACCCCACCCCACCCCAGGAGGGGTTGGGCGAGCGAATTAAGGGATGAGCAGAGCAGGTGACGGAAGAACGCCTGTGGGCAGGGAGGAAAGAAGGACTGACCTGCAGGTTCTCAAAATGCATCCGGGATTTGCAGTGAGTGAGCCGTGTGGCCGAGTCGCTGGAGTAGAATTTGTGGCACAGCCGACACAGGAATCCCGCTACGGGCACTAGGAAATCCAGGCCTGCCGGAGGAGGGAGAGGAGGGAGAGGAGGGGAGGGGAAAGGGCATGGATCAAGAAAGCGTAAAGCCCGCAGGAGGACCACAAGGCCAGCACTGCAGCTTGCGAGAGAGGGATCAAGAATCTTATTACAGCTAGTCCTCAACAAGGGCACCATAACGGTTGCTGGAATTGGGTATGTCTAGTTTAACGAAGAGAAGGATGAGGGGGGTTGCTAAATGAACTGGGCTTAATTGGCTGGTCATAAGTAGAGGACTACCTGTATGCCCAAAGGAAGAAGGAAGGCAGGCAGGAATTGAGGGACAGTTTGGTGGTCCCACGTCTGGGGGAGGGGGGATTAGAGGGGGGGATAAATGGGCTTTTCAAACCAGGAGCCGTTTGTCTACCTGCTGAGCCTCTGCAGGGGAAAACGAAGAGAAGAAGCAAGAGAAAAAGAAAACACAAACACACACAAACACACCGGGTGTGCCAACTCGCTTCTCTTACCGTAAACCGTGTCCGGGCAATACTCCGCGTTTCCTCCTGGCTCTTCCAGCAACGTTTCTCTCTGCCCAACCTTAGGAGAATGAGTAAAGGAGGTGAAGATGCAAACTCCCTCCTTTGACCTCCAAGTTCACAAAATAAAGAATTTTTTGGGGGGCTTTTTGCAAAAAGAGCGTTAAGGAGAAGGTGTTCCTATAGCTCTGGGCTTCTTCCGGGGATCTACGCTGCAGGGTAGGCTCACCAAGACGGGTGTGGGTGTGATTGTGTGGGGAAATTCCTACTTAGAAGTCTTTTTTTTTATTGAAAGTTTTATAAAAGTTTTACAATATACCTCCCCCCCTCCCCAGAACCCACCCTTCCCCTCCCCCCTACCTCCCCCCCGACTTCCCAGAGCCAATCACAGGGTTAACAATACAATAACCATACTCTGTCTAACATTAATCACTATTAGATTAACAAATCTATAACATCCTTTAACTCTCTTTTAAACAAACATATTAAACACAATAATACTAATTATAGATAGAAACAAACTACATTAACACTCTAAAGTGTACTCAAAAAACAAATGGAACTTTTTAGTTCCATATTTACTCTCAATATAATCTATCCATCTTCTCCAAACCAAAATATATCTCTCTTGTGAATAATCCTTCACATAGGCAGAAATCTTAGCCATTTCTGCTAAATTTGAAACTTTGAATACCCAATCTTCTATAGTGGGATAACGTTCCGTATTCCAACATTGAGCTACTAGTAATCTTGCAGCAGTTATCAAATTCAACATCAAATCCATTTCTTTTTTTATCCAGATCCCTACTTAGAAGTCTTTAAGAAATATCGGCAAACACGCTGGGTATTCCCCGGGGATAGCTTATTATTATGGCCTATCTCAGGGGTCCTCAAACTTGGCAACTTTAAGACTTGGGGACTTCAACTCCCAGAATTCCTCAGCCAGCCCTCAGGGCTGGCTGAGGAATTCTGGGAGTTGAAGTCCCCAAGTCTTAAAAGTTGCCAAGTTTGGCCTCTCTCAACAAAGCTGATTAATAAATTTCCTCCTTGCAAATTAAGAAGAGTGGCCGAAAAAAGTCCCTACCTGCTGAATGACGGCCTCCGCAGGATCCAGCTGGTCCCCCTCCCCAGCTTCCTCCTCTTCCTCTTCCTCTTCCTCATCCTGCTCTTCAAAGCAGCCCACGGCGTCCACCGTGATCAGCTCCTCGGAGTCCTCTGGACCGTCCGGCTCCTTCTCGGCCAGGCTCACCTGGCCCAGGGGCAGGCAGGAAAAAAGCGGAGTCAGGAGGAAGGGACGGACGGACGGACAGGGCAAGAAAGAGAGTTCAACAAGAGCCAGGAACACCCCCCCAGCCCCCCCTTTTTTTTCTTCTTCCTCCTCCTCTGACCTCTT